GGTTTTAGTCCGCTCGTAATTCGAGAGCTGTGCGGAGGTGATCGCTTGCCTAGTCGTTCATGATTCATTCCATGGCGCTTTGAATCTCACGGAGGAGAGGTTCTCTATAGTGAAACATCCGCAGGTGGCTGCGAGTTGATGGACGTAAGTTATAACAAGAACGTAGTCGTTAGTTTTGCGGCCGAAATGCCAAAATGCGAGCGACACCACCTTCTTCTACATGTAGGGGAAGGGGGGGGGGGGGGGGGGGGGGCGCCCTTCGCGATGCGGTCGTTTTTTTGTTTCTTATTATATCCCCTCGAGGTTTGAGCCCTGCATGACCTGGCGGCCCTCTCGGCGCCCCCCTGCGAATGGCGCCCTGTGCGGCTGCACAGGTCGCTCACACCAAAGGCCGGCCCTGAGTATTTTACACTGCAAAACAGCTAACAAAAGCACGTTCCCGAAGACTCAAAAGCTGGCGCATTTTCGAGTATCGTCCTTTCGTGTCGGTCTCGGGCGGTTATGTGAACTTCATAAAGTCAGATTTATCGATGATAATAAAAATATACTTAATTCCTGTCTGAAGATTTGGCAGCATAAATAGAAGATCCTCATCCCAAAGATATATAAGTAAATGCACCTTCAAATTATCTGAAAGATGTTCTGCAAATATTTTTCGGCGCTTTTATCTTCTATAGACACGTTATAGATGATTTGGGGAAGCTTTCTCACGCATATATAACTTCTAAAATATATAGAAGTTTATTATCGCGTTTTTTATTTGGTGAACAGAACTTTTATGTGTCTGTGGGTCGGACCAAAACAAAATACACTGAGACGAATTGTGGAACTATGACGATTACACACGCAAACTGTCAGAAAGTGTCCAATTAAGTAGCTTCCCAATCGAGTAGAGCACGAAATGCCACTTTGTTCTATTTAACAAAAAACATCAATTAGCGAGGGTGATGCTTATTGCAAATTAAATTCACCAGCACCTTGTCAAGAACAAACCTCAACATCCAGGCTATGCCAGTTTATGCAATATAAGAAAATGTTCACATGGGTAAGCACTGTTTTAGGCCAGATTATATCTCAGTACGAAGGTGCTCATAGATTAGAGTGAACAATTTCAGCCACTCCTTTTTGCATGATTCGTCGCCCGCATCACGGTGCTGAGAGCAAACAATGCTGGTTAGAAAAACAAGCATTGCGATTGTCGCTCAGTGTTTCTATAAAATATAGACTGGAAGGGCTTGTCCTGTGACTTTCGTGACATTTTGAAAATTATATTGCTTTAAGCTAAGTCGCCTCGTCATCATATATATACTGTGACACGTATTCCGTAAAACACATTTCATGATATATATGGCGACGAGGTGCCCATTTCATGATTTTATTCACTGTAATTAATTCCTTAGTTTAAGGGCAAAACCACGATTCAACCTCTAATACTGCGATGCAAAGTTGTACCAATCACGGGTATTTAGGCAACCTACTTCACTTCGTGAAAACATTTCGATTCAGGTACAATGTATGTGACTCTGGCAAACGAAGAAATGTTGAGTCGTATAAACACGACGTTTTGTATGTCAATGTAGATTTTCTTTTCTTGTTGTGTAGAAATAAATAACATAATTTTATAATTTTGGTACCTCAAAATAAAACTAGATTGAACAAACGATACAAAAAAAAGCTATATACTGTAAACGACTTATTTTTCGTGGGCTCAATATTTCGCGATTTACGTCAAAGCTGAAGTTTCGGAATGATTCGCGGGTTGTAATTTTCTCTATGCGGTTGAATCTCAATATAAATTCCAATGTGTTTATATTTTTCCGAAATTGTTCGCGGGCCCCATTCTTCGTGAATTGTAGGCGATTCGCGAAATTCTAAAAAATTAGGTCCTCGCAAAAATCAGGTCTAAATAGTGCCTATTGACAGAACAACGCGAAAAATATATTCTCAATTTAGTGGTTCAAACCGGTTCGAACCGGTTCGAACCGGTTTGAACCGTTATTTTTTGCGCCCCGGAACTGAACCGGAACTGAACTGAAATCCATGAACCCGAACCCGAACCGAACCGATAAAAATATCGGTTCGACACTCTGGTTTCAAGTACTTTTTACTTTTTTCTTGCTGCTTGAAGTCGGGACGCGTGAGAAGCGCACGTATAGAAAGATAAACGTTCGTGGGTCGTCGCGACCGCGACGCTGTCGGCCATGCTGATTTGATCGTAAGAAGTGCGTAGACAGCTTCGGAGCTGTCGTAGGATTTCGTCGTAACCTGCGCAAAATTCACGAAAATTTCGTTTTGTGAATACGAATTTGTTCTTAAGTTATGTCTTACGCACATTTTTGGCGTAAGATCGTTTCGTGAATCTGGCCTCTGCACTTCCGAAAGCCGCAGGAAAGGTAAGACAGACGCAGACGACGTTGCGAGCAGACGACGTTGCAAAGGAGCAGACGACGCTAGGATAGGGGGGTCGCCATCAGCCAATCAGGGCTCGGCGTTCTGACGTCACCGCTACCCCCTGCGCGTGAAGCAGACGAACTTGCCCTCCGCATTGAAGTCCGTAAATAACCGGAAACCGGGAACGACGTGTCCGACACATTTGTAGCCTGGAACACAATAGACACCAGGGCAATAAAAATTTCGCTTCCAGTGCGGTACGTTCTGAAATTAACAGTTTAGTCGGATGCTAAAATGTAATGGTACTCGTGATTAACTACGGTGCATATCATAATCGTTATGAAATATCTAGGGCCTTCGAGTTACACGGAAAAGCAGGCGACCAGGTCTCATGAACGACTGGCACGCATTGTGAATGCTATATGGGCGAAGAAATTAACGTTAAGAGTTCCGCTGCACAAAGTGTGTCTCACCCTTTCTTTTGTGTAGGCGTTTTAGCACCGACGATATCGGATATCTTGACCGAAGCTCACCGCCTAGAATTCTGTAGTAATGGGCTATCATTTCGACTTGTCGTACGACCCTTAGAGCGGTTCGGCGTGCATCTGTCTTGTGCTTTAAAACCTCAATATGACAAAGGATATTAAATGTTTCTTTCAATGCTTTTCCTCACATCGTCCAAGTACTAATTCTCGTGCTCTTTTACCAATAGAACGTTAAAGCTGTGTCAGGGAAATGCATATTCCACGCATCGTACGACACTTCGGACGGTTCGGCATGCATCTGTGTGGTATTTGAATAACTCAATGTGGCACAGGATAATAATTGGTTCTTCAGTGTTATTCTTCAAACCGATCAAGTTCTATTTCTCGTGCCCTTTTACCAAAAGCATGCTGAAACAGTGTCAAGGAAATAGATATTTGACGCGCCGTACAAACCTTCGGACGGTTTGACATACATCTGTCTGGTCTGGTGCTTTAATAACTAATCAAGAGTGACACAGTATAATAAATGTTTCTCCAATGTTTATTCACACTGTTGAAGTTTTAGGTCCTGTGCCTTTTAACCGAAATCATGCTAAAGCTTTAGCAATGAGATGCATTTGTTGATTCTAAAATCACTATTTAACTTGCAAGCATCCCGTCAGTCGCTCAGTATGATACAGCTTCATAAAAGACTTAAGAAATTGGATACAGCGCGCCAAAAGACGAAGACAACGAGAGAAGAGCACAGGACAAGCGCTGACTATCAACTAAAGTTTTATTAAAAACGGCTCAAACAAGAAAACACCACACAGCCAACCAACGCCGAAACAACCAATGGCGTGTCGCTTACCATGCATCTATAAATTCGATCTCATTTTTTTGAGCAGATAAACTGAAGGCTGGCTGACGCAGTGCCCCGCGCCAGCTTTTCGATAGCATGCGCCTCCACCACCTCTCTTTGCACTTTTGTGCGCCCCATGCCAATGATTAAGGTATCTTGGAAGACGGGATGACACTGGCAGTCTCTGCAATGTACGTACAAGTGACCTCCTGTCATTGACCGCAGGGAATTCGCATGCTCACGCATTCTCTCGTTGACGCAGCGTCCCGATTGTCCTATATAAACCCGTCGCATGACAATGGAATTTTGTAGATGACACCCACAACGCAATCCACGAACTTGTTGACATGCTTAACCGTACATGACATCTTGTTACTGCTTGCCTGGTTTACGCGCGGGCGTTGTGGGTGTCATCTACAAAACTCCATTGTCATGCGGATGGGTTTATATAGGACAATCGGGACGCTGCGTCAACGAGAGAGTGCGTGAGCATGCGAATTTCCTGCAGTCAATGACAGGAGGTCATTTGTACGTACATTGCAGAGACTGCCAGTGTCACCCCGTCTTCCAAGATACCTTATTATTGGCAGCGGGCGCACAAAAGTGCAAACAGAGGTGCTGGAGGCGCATGCTATCAAAAAAGCTGGCACGGTGGACTGCGTCAGCCAGCCTTCGGTTTATCTGCACAAAAAAGAGATCGAATTTATAGATGCATGGTAAGCGACACGCCATTGGTTGTTTCCGCGTTGGTTGGCTGTGTGGTGTTTTCTTGTTTGAGCCGTTTTTAATAAAACTTCAGTTGATAGTCAGCGCTTGTCCTGTGCTCTTCCCTCGTTGCCTTCGTCTTTTTGCTCGCTGTTTCCAAGTTCCTAAGTCGTGTACCAACTCGCTTGCATCGCCACCTTAATACACCTTCATAAAAAACTGAGTGCAATGAGTTATACATAGATTATTTATAGAATCGCATAATTCTAAATGAATTCATGTTATATAATTATTAGTTTTTCACTTGATATGCATCCAAATAAAATAGGTTTGCTGGGCTCATGAGTTAAACTCAGCTGCATAAAAACAAACACCTGACGAGTGTTTTGGCGTTGCTTCAAGGATCACGGTTGATGATCAGCACATGCACACATGATTCGAGTAAACAAATTTGTTTCGGCTAATGGTTTGGGCTTATATTTCACAGATGCTTTGAATTAAGAAAATTGATTGCAAGCAATCATTTCGGGAGTAGAGGAACGTAAAAATCACTAAATGTATATTGACTGTACCCACAGAAAATACGCTGTCAGCGAATCTCTGGACACACTCTGCTGCCAGGTGGTGGACGCTTACGTGGATTCTCTCAAGGAAGGACCCAATGTAGTGGACTCAAAGGTTCCCTTTGAGTACATGATCTACAACATCATCGGAATCTCTGTCTACGGAGCAAAGTAAGGTCTTGGTGCGAATCGTTAAAGCTCTGAAAAGATTTCTCCCCTTTTGTATCAGATGATCTGACCTTAATTTGAGCAAAATGGTGTTTTATTTGCGTACTAGGATTTGCAGATGTGTTTAAATAAAACCGTGAAAGCTACACTTATGTGATTTGTGCATGTGCTTTATACGGCCAGGGAGACATAGTATAAGGGGCTAATTGTAACGATCATTGATAATTCACCTTTTAAGTGGTGGAAATAGACTTATGGCTCCAATTAGATACTTACTGAGCGTCATCTAAAAACAAGATGTCAATAAATTTAGAAGCAATGACGCTTGAGAAGCACAATAGTGCGCTAAAGTTACCGCAACTGTAGCTGGACCCAGGCTTCCGCTGAGATTACGCGTCGGCGCGATATTTACGTCTCTTATCACAGCCCAAGCCTTTTTGCACGATCAGTACCTTTAGCGAATACTACGCTGGAAGTATTTCTAAAGATTAGTTATTTAGTAGATTTCGTTGAAGCTGAGCAAGTCTCTGATTGGAACCTTATGTCAAATTGAACTAGATAAAAGCATACCTAACACATTTTTCTTAATTAGCCGATGATTGTTTTGATTATCTCCTATACCAGTGGTCTTAAACACCATTTGATTGTGGGGGCCAGACAGCCCAAAACTAAACAGTCGAGGGCCAACGTAAAGGGGGGGGGGGGGGGTGGTCTAAATAATTTAAAGAAAAGAGACGTCGTGTTCTATGTATTTTTTTTTTGTTGTAAACTCTCAGTTTTGCCTGTGACATCTTTAGATTTGATTTGCTTAATTGACTGCTTTGGACCCTGACCTGATGCAGTGACAATAATTAAAATGAAACCACCCCGCCAACATCCTGGCATTTTTAATGGAACAAGAGAGCAAGTGCAGAGTCGTACCCGTTGCTCAATTCACTCAGGAGTTAACCAAGCTCAACATGTCTCTGAAAACAATGAGTTAATTTGAGAGTTTTTGCTGTCCTGACGATTTTTATTACAACACTTTGAACAAATACTTGTCTCTTAATGGAGATACATTTTTGAAGGCGAGAATCCCGAGCTCGTAGCGCTTTATCTTTGGCAGTTGCTCCTGCTGATCGAGAGTTCGCGAAGTCGAGATGCATCCTTCAACGAATAGCTAGCGTTTGCAGCCTATCGCAGCCGAATTGTTGTGCGTGACAAAAAGCTGAGAAGCAAAAAATAAAGTGAAACAATGGGCAAATTAACACAGATGAGTATAAGCTATGTGAATACGTTAAAAGAGCAGAGCGACTTTTCGCGCGAAAATGAATCGACGAGATCAGATCATTATGGCGCATGCCATTTCTAACGCTCGAGACATGGGAACCGGGAATCGTAGCCGGTTGGGCCTGCCGGCCGCGTCCTAAAGATTCGCGGGCCGCGTGTTGAGACCCTTTGCTCTACAATGTTAACCAAAGGTTTTTCAGTGAACCCCTGATGGCGAATTCCACTGGCGTTTTGGACCGCGCCAGGATCAGTCGACCAGATCCGGATTCGAGCACAAGATCCGAACGGGCTCGCGCCGCCTACGGATCCCCAGTGGAACATGACCACTGCTCCGGGATCGGCGGACGCCTTCCCGTCATTCAACTGCCCGGGATTCCCCTTTTCGTGGCCGCCGCGGTCGCTTCGAAGACGTTTTCGCTACGCGGCGCTAACACGTGTTCGACGCAAGAGTGGCAGCAATGGCTCAGGCACTTCTAGCAAAGATTGCCGGAATGCCCGTAGCGCGGCAAATACATTCTCTTCTCCTTCCTGCAAAACGAACCGGCTGTCGAGCCAATGGGTAAGCAAGCGGCCATTACGAATTCTTCTGATGTCGAGACAATCTAGGAGCCCAGCCCGCGACGTGCTTCTTCTTCTGAGGCGAGATGCCCCACGAGAAAAGAAGTCACATCTGTGCGCCGACGGCTGGCCCGGCTGGCTTCCGGTTAAATCTGCCGAAATCGTGGGAGTGACTTTTCTCGTGGCGAATTCCAGGAGTTGTTTTGGAGCGCGCCGGGATCGACTTTTCCGGAGCCAGCCTATTTCACTGGGCGATCGGGATCGAGACCAACGTGTTCCACTGGTCGTTTTGGATTACCTCCCGCTCCAGATCTCGATCTGGATCCGAGAAAAGTCACTCCCCCGATTTTGGCGGATTCAACCGGAAGCCAGCCGGGTCAGTCCTCGGCGCACACACGTGACTTCCTCTCTCGCGGGCATCTCGCCTGATCTCGCCCCAGAAGAAGTGGTAATGGCCGCTTGCTTACCTCTTGGCTCGACAGCCGGTTCCTTTTCCAGGAAGGAGAAGAGAACAGAAGGTTTTGCCGCGCTGCGGGCATTCCGGCAATCTTTGTTAGACTCTCCCGAGCCATTCCTGCCGCTCGTGCGTCGAACACGTGTTAGCGCCGCGATTGCGAAAACGTTGATGCTTGGAACTTGGAACCAGCCTCTACCAGACACCTGATTTGTTTCAAAAATACCCAGGACGTTTTGGGGCAATGAATCGATCCCATAGCAGGCGGTAGAGAAGTAGACAGCGTTGAAAAATATTTATTCCACCGATGGTCACGAAGGCCGATGGTGTCGGTGTCACAGTTTTGAAGCACTGTCAGTTCAGCTCAACACCACGTTAAAAAAGACGGTTTGGAGTACTGCCTGTGCTAACGCAATTTCACAGTAGAAATAGGAATTGCATGAAAGAACCGGACAGAAACACTTAATACGGTGGCGTAAATGCCGAACATATATCAGCGATGTCACTTTCCTCGGTTAGGGCTATCTGCTTTGTCAGCGAATGAAGAACATCTCGATAAAATAAAGAGCGGAAAACACTCCCCGTGTCAAGTTTTCTAATTACAGCCACTGGTTGATGTCGTACCGTGGCAATTCCCGGCCCTTCGAACGCACTAGCACTTTGTAGAGTCACATTTCCAGCGACGCCGCGCCGCACACGAGCGAAGGTAAACAATCAAGATGGAGGAGTGTTCCGCGTGTTGCTCCCGCAGTCAGCGCGGTGTGACAGGGTTGTCGGACAACAAATCGGGCAACACTGTTGCCGGGCGGCAGCAACATGTTGCCCGACTGTTGTTGTTGCCGTGATGTGACAGGGTCGCCGGCAACACGACTTCCCCGTGTTGCCGGATAGAGTTGTCCAACTGTCCCCTCAGTGTGACAGGGCCTTTACCCCTCGGCTCGACAGCCGGTTCGTTTTCCAGGAAGGAAACGAGAAGGTTTTGGGGGCCGCGCTACGGGCATTCCGGCAATCTTTGCTAGAAGCTCCTGAGCCATTCCTGCCGCTCGTGCGTCGAACACGTGTTAGCGCCGCGATTGCGAAAACGTCTTCGAAACGACCGCGGCGGCCGCGGAAAGGGGATTCCCCGGCGGTTGAATGACGGGAAGGCAAATGCCGATCCCAGAGCAGTGGTCGCGTTCCACGGGGGCGCGACCCCGTTCGGATTGTGAGCTCCATTCCGGATCTGGTCAACTGATCCCGGCGCGCTCCAAAACACCCAGTGGAATTCGCCATCGGATCCAGATCGAGATCTGGAGCGGGAGCTAATCCAAAACGACCAGTGAAACATGTCGGCCTCAATCCCGATCGCCCAGTGAAATAGGGTCGCTCCAGAAAAGTCGATCCCGGCGCGCTCCAAAACGACCAGTGGAATTCGCCATTAGTTCCTCTAATATTGGATCTATGACGCTCGTGAAACCTAGATGCTTTCATGATGTGACATTACCCCGGAGTCAGGTTTCCCACAGTGAAGTTAAGATATGTGATGGTTTCCTGCATATGCCGCCAGTGCACTTTTTACTGTGACAAAAACTCTTCTCAGATACCGTCGGGTCAAACGCCTAATATAGCGTACTCTATGTGTCCGCATGCGTTTTGAATGGAAAAATGGAGAAACAAAATGTGCAGGACCCTGCTATCGAGGGTTTACATATCGTTGGGGAAGGCGACAGAATTGAGATATACGTAGTTTGAACTTTTTTATTGCCCATAGAAATACAGTCGTAATGTAATAATAATGATTATACGATTGCAACGCGTCATTGTACCATTAAAAAGTCTAAAACCCTTGCTTTTCTTCATATCTAATATATTATCAGAATAAACGCCGACCCCCCATTATTCGCACTACTCCATGTGAATTATGCTTTCAAACATTCCAGTTCAGCCATTTTGTAATTGAATTCCCAGATATTCACGCATGCTACAACTTAAAGCGTTATAAATATTAAACGTTATATTTGTCCCCTTTTAGTAAAACTCAGAGGAAGCTCAATACGCCCCGCAAGTGGGGTCATTTTCGTCTTCTGCGCATGAGAGAGGAAGTAGCGGTGACGTCAGAACGCCGAGCCCTGATTGGCTGATGGCGACCCCCTATCTCAGCGTCGTCTGCTCCTTTGCAACGTCGTCTGCTCGCAACATCGTCTGCGTCTGTCTTACCTTTCCTGCGACTTTCGGAAGTGCAGGCCTTTACGAGCGAGCTCGACTTCGTCTTTCAGAGAGGACAGACGAAATAACTCGAGCGGTACGTTGTTTTTGTCTAACAACTAGCAGACGCGCATCCGAGGGAAGTCAAAGGACTCACTGGCGAGGTGTCCCGAGGCGCCGAGGTTTGTTTGCTAAGAACCAAGAGAGAGCGTGTTAGTGTCCGCAAGTTCTCTCCCAAATACTTTTTCCCTCCTTTCGTGTGCGGAGAGACCCCTCATTCTTTAACGGCGCCGGCGGGTTGGCGCAGTTAACGTCGTCTGCTTTACGTCTGCTAGTCAAACCGATGGCTGCTTTACCTTCCCTGCGTCTGTCGGAGATTCACCGCTTTTTCACCGGCGAGAGTCACCGTTGCCTCGGGAAAGAAGGAGATAACAAGAGGAAGAAATTGACCTCTTAAACTAAAACTGAGGTCAGCGATCAAAGTATAATACGGGAAGGGTTCACAAGGGTCGCGCGGGCATATTCCATTCAGCACGCCAGCCGGTCGTGGACAGACGGTCGCCGAGTCACGGAGTGCCTGCTAGGCCTAACTGCCGTGCTCGCTTGGTCGCGTTCGGTGGAATCGTAGCCGCTGGAGCTTTTCCCGGGTGTTTGTGGATCCAGCGTTCTCGTTCGTCGTGGTCTGTTTCAAGTACTTTTTACTTTTTTCTTGCTGCTTGAAGTCGGGACGCGTGAGAAGCGCACGTATAGAAAAATAAACGTCCGTGGGTCGTCGCGACCGCGACGCTGTCGGCCATGCTGATTTGATCGTAAGAAGTGCGTAGACAGCTTCGGAGCTGTCGTAGGATTTCGTCGTAACCTGCGCAAAATTCACGAAAGTTTCGTTTTGTGAATACGAATTTGTTCTTAAGTTATGTCTTACGCAAATTTTTGGCGTAAGATCGTTTCGTGAATCTGGCCTCTGCACTTCCGAAAGCCGCAGGAAAGGTAAGACAGACGCAGACGACGTTGCGAGCAGACGACGTTGCAAAGGAGCAGACGACGCTCAATAGGGGGTCGCGATCAGCCAATCAGGGCTCGGCGTTCTGACGTCACCGCTACCCCCTGCGCAAGAAGCAGACGAACTTGCCCTCCGCATAAAGTCCCTTATTGTCACTGCACATAAAATTGACAACTAAGCAAAAAAATGACCGCATCTCCACGTGGTGAATGATGTTGATTGGGGCGAAGCTCTGGTAGTGCTGATGATACTGAATTTGTTCATACGTAGTGCTGATGGTGCTGATTTTTTTTAATCTTTATTGCTCATAGGTAGTGCCGAGTTCCGGGTTGCGTTTTGACTTCATTAGCAAATGAATGCAAATTTTAACGCGATTATATACGCACTTGACCGCAACGCCCTCTCCTGTATAGACGTTGAGCGGCTACTTGCAACGTTTCGTCCATGACATTCCCAGCTCTTGAGTTACTACCACATCTCAGAGCCCCCTACTCGTCCCGCAGTCGTGGCCGAGTGGTTAAGGCGATGGACTAGAAATCCATTGGGGTCTCCCCGCACAGGTTCAAATCCTGTTGACTGCGCAAACATTTTTTTTTTCTATTTCTTTAAAAAAGACAGATGGGATGGCAATCGATGTGGGCACGGACACCGGACAAGGTTAGACCCTAAGGAGCTTCGCCCCTAAAACAGAAAAAGAAACTGCCCGTTGGAGTAAATAGAGTCTGCATGTTATATTTAAACCATTTTCAGATTTAGAAAGAATGAAATTAGTCTAATTACTTATTTGTTTATACCGTTTCAGCCTAATCTGGTGAAGTGAAAAAGCTTTTGTCCCCGTGAGTCAATGAGAGTGACGGGGCGATTCATGTGACAGCTCTCCGCTGGAGGCGTGCACTCCAACGGTACTTAGTCACGTGACTCGTTCAAAAGCTTCGATTAACTTCCGGAGCGCAGCTTTTGCTCTTTACCAAGGAGTGCTGAAGCGGAGTATGCGGAGTTACTGGAATGAGAGTTATGGCGGAGGAGAGCCGGTGATGCATCTATTTACTAAAAATTACCGTGTTCTCGAGCGCTGTACAGTCAAAACAAGCAAAGGCATAAATAAGCCAATGCATGGTGTGCGCTTAAAGCTTTTCACAAGGCTGTAGTTTGGTGGTGCGTTTATCATATTCACAGTTTGCGAATGTAGATTTGTGGGGACGAAGTGCAAGAAAAGGAAAACGTGTTAGTTGTTTGTAGATAATCAAAGACGTACAAGACAAACCGTTTAACTGACGCTGCGGCTCATGCATAGATGGCACACACACTCTTGGATCTGCTTAATCTGTTTAGGGTGTTCATCTCAAAGTAGCTTTCGCGTGTTTACTACAAGTGGTAAACTCGGTAACTTACAGCGTCAACAAGACGATTTGTTTTAAAGTTCCTCTTTGTGCTTATGATAATTGGACATCTTTGGATTTAAGTGTTTTTCAGAGCCCAACATTCATGAAACCTTCGTATAATAAATGCATCAACGAATGGCCTAGTTGTTAAACGTTTGATAACATTTCGGTTGTGGATTTATTCATGTTTTTATATATTTACGGCTGAATAGCACTTGGTAGCACCCTGTTGATGGAGCTGATTATGTATCATTGGCTACGATTTGTTTTTAACTTTCAGGTTCGACAGAGAGAGCCCAGAGTTGGAAGAGCTACAGGCCATTAACAGAGAATTCTTCAAAGTAGCCCCCAATGGTCTTCCCAGTGACATCGTACCATGGTTGGGTCTACTTTACCGGGCGCGCGAGCGCAAGATTGAGCTCCTTTTTAAGAAAGGCTGGAAAATACTGGACGACCTCTACAAGCGAGCTTCCAAATCGTACGTTCCCGGTACGTTCGCGTTCCGTTTTTTCCAGCTCTCTTAGTTTGGCGCCCATCTTTGAATGCAAAGACCCGGGATGCCACCTTACGGGTAAAACCGACACTAAAATGCCCGTGTAATAGCTTAAAAAAAAATAAAAACGTTAATTAGTATTTTTTGAATCCACAGTATACAATTGTACCGTCACAGCTACGAAAACTTAGACCACAATGTAACCCTTAAGCCGCAGTGACACTGCTCGCACATCATACAAAACACACTGTGTTGGCTGCAGACATGATGTCTGCAGAGAGTTTTCGTGGTACCAATGTGGCGGGACAGACACACAAGGAACAAACACGCCCCATACAGCGTCTAGAAACTGTCTCTTGAACGGTGTATGAAAGGTGCGACTGCGGCTTTAAGTATCTTGCAGTAAACCTAGGATGACCCTATGGTGAGCTTGAGATGATGCGCACTCCTTCTTAGGCCGCAATGGTCGGCACCTTACGTGGATGAGGGATCGCCAGATTGTGCTCAGGGAGTTCAGACATTCGTTTTATTTGATACGCAAAATTCTCCTAACAGACGCGGTGTGGATCCTGGACGGCGCGATGCGACTTCACCGCAACTGGGGTCATCTAGCGGGCGCTGTATACGAGACTTGCGTGCGCAGCTGTGCTCAACACTTGCGGTTTATCGCAAGCACCTAGCGTAGCTCTATACACCTTTCCAAGAAGCACTCGACCCCAGGGGCAGCGAACCATTTTCGAGCCCAGACACTGTGTTTGAGGCTACACTCTCACCGGCGTCCCTCCTAACCCTAACCGAGTGGACTGTGATTTCGATTGGCGCAGCCTGCGTAGGCGCCTTTTCAAACACTGCTGGCGACTAAATGTTCGTCTTTTCCCGCTGTATTTTGTGTTTCATGGTATATGTATTTTCCCGAGGTCATTGAGAAAGCATTGTACCACATTAAAAAAAAAACACACTAAAAATAAGAAATTGTGAACTATTTTTGTAGAGTGCGTGCGCCACAGAACGAATGCGACTGGAATGTTAGTAGTTTTTTTTTTTTTTACGATAACCTTTGGCGACGCCGCCCGATTAGCCGCGTGTCAAACGAGAAAGCGCTTAGCTGTCGAAAATAACTAACAACAGATGATATACAAAAGGCACGCATTTTTCACGCTTACGAATAACGTGTTTACCGATGGACAGGACACGGACATACAATTTAACAATCATTAACATTCGAACAATATATTCTACTTACCACACGATGCAGCGTTCTCTGAAAAAAAAAATTATTTGAGAAATATCTTAAATAACACCGTCACAGTCGACGACATTTACATCTTTACGATCGGATGGAATTCAAGATGACTTACTTTTTCCACACAAGAACTAAGAAAAACAGCGGGCTTGACTGACTCCAGCCCGAGCAACAATGTTTGGCTGTGACTAGGAAAGTAATCTATGCGAGTTATTTCTGGGAGGGGGAAAATAGTTTTCATTGTTCGCAAAACCGCGTCCGAGGCCGTTGGACACCCTTCCGCTTCTTCGTTGCCCTTGAATGTCAAGCAGAAACGTTTGAAATGGGCAGGCACTTACCAGCCCTATTTCTCACAGTGGAAGATAACAAAGAAAGGGTACGCAGCATGCATCAGAAGAATTAAGTGGAAACTTTCAAGAGGGGCGAGAAAACGTTGAATGAAAAACCGCAAAACATAGGTAGAGAATCGGGCTGAGCGGGCTTCCACAGTCGAAGCAAGCGTCAGAAACGTTCTAGCTGATAGGGGCTTAACAGTCGCACTGGCCGCATCAGCATCATCAACACGGTGGCGGCCTAGGAGCGATTTTTTGGGAAATGTGTATCGGTGGCGCGCTTGCTTTACAATGAGCAGAGCTGAAGTCCAATCGCGAGAAAACCGCGACGGAATTTCGGGGATTCTCTTTTGGAAACATTTCGCACTACCGGGATTGAAGCCCTGCCTATAGCGCCAGCCCAGCTCGCTTTCCGGATCTTCGAACACGCGCCCGCCAGAATTTTGAGATCGCGCTCTGGATAATAGGTTTGTTTAAGCTGTAAATCACGGAGTGAATACGTAAAAGCTTGTACTGAAAACACCGGTGTTCTCGTGTATTTTTCATGCTTCTAATGGGTAAGTTGATTTTCAATTTTGGGAGTCTCGAGGAAATTACATTCTCCATAAGACTTGAAGGTAAGCATCTTCCACAGACGTCTGTCTGGTTGGGAAGTGACAATAGAAAAATATTTGACTCCAACCAGAAATTAAACTTGGACCCAACGTTTCCAAACCAGTTCGGTTTCTTCTTCAGGGGCGATTGATCTCGTGCATGGGAGCAGCCTCGTCTTCTTTGGTGGTACGAATATCTTCTAATCGCGCTTCCGCCTTGCCACCCAGTCTTTTGTTCTAATCACATGTTGTTGTCCACTCACATAAACAGGTGGTAAGGTACTCATAGATCTGTTGATATTTCCTGGTGTATTTCGGATGTGCCATGATTCAAGGTGATGTCTTTTTCGGAGATTGGTTTCAACATCAAGAACGGACGCGTTCGCGAAGTCTATCGGATAGTCAAAGGTGTTACAGTGCTCCGCAAGAGCACTGCGTTCTCGATCGAATTTGCGTACATCGTTCTTGTGCTGGCGTAACCTTTCCATAAAATTCTTTGTTTCGCCGATATCAGATGCAGGACATTTTAAGCAGGGGATCCGGTAAACATTCACGGTGCTTTTTTCTTCGGGGGGGGGCGATCTTTTGGTCTTGGCACGAGGCTGCTCCCACGCACGAGATCAATCGCCGCTGAAGAAGAAACCGAACTGGTTTTGAAACGTTGGGTCCGAGTTTAATTTTTGGTTGGAGTCAAATCTTCATAAGAGCATCAGAAGTTGTGAATGCGTAGACACTTATAGCATCAGAATTCTTGTACGCGGAGCTCAAGTTCTCGTGATATAAATGGACGTGGTGGGGGGCAAAAGCTTTTTTCAGAACATCTCCAGTGAATATTAGGAACCCACCTGATTAGGCACCGCAGTGGCTTTGTATAACGACCTTAACGCTGAGCTGTTTTCGTTCTTGGTACTGCTGACGGACGGGAAACACGTTCACATGTGTATATTCGGCTAGATTCCACGCAGCGCAGCAATCGAAAGTGCTGCTTTCGTGCAATTCTCACTAGGGTACGCACCCCCTGTACATGGGTTGTGACGTCACACCATGTTGTGACGCTTTACTTTCTTTTTCTTTTTTTGCTTTGGAACGCATGTAATGGCGTCTCCTGGCTCGAGCTTTTATCGTCTTAATATTGACCGTGTTAGAGCGGCGTTTTGATTTGGGTTAAGTATTTTTTTAATGTTCTTGTCATAACGTCCGGCTTCAGAGCCGGAACGCTGCTACACGCGCGACAGTCTGAGACGCACAAGCTTGCACTACCCATTACTGATTAACAATTCGTTTTTCGCAGTGTCCTCTGGCCAAAACGTTGCCACTAGTGAGCCCACGCATCGCGGCCTAATTCACATCAGCGTCGCGGCCAATCCGTATTGCAGAGTCTCAATAGAGAGAGTCTATAGTATCTCAATAGAGCTGTGTCGCTTTGGGGCAGGTAGGATATCAAATAACGGTGACGTCATGGGCAAGCCTCGTCCCCTTGGTGGTACTGAATGGAGACTGCTCTCTTGTTGCTTGAAAAAGTAACAAATTATAACGTTTTCTTTCCTCAGGCAAAATCGACAACTTCACTCACTCTATGTTGGCAGCAAGAGAAGAAGCCATTGAGCAGGAAAAGAATGACGCCCAATATCTAACCGAAGCTAATATGGTTCAGATCCTAACGGACATATGGGGTGGTGAGTGTAAAGAAAACCTTATGCTCAAAGTTACGTCAAATGATTTTTTTTTTTTTTAACATTGCACGCCGACCAACCTTGACGTGAGGCACCCTTTTGTGTAATGATATATGGAGCCTTTGGGGGCATATGACAGGGTTTTACATGGTGGTTTGACATGGGGTATTGACATGTTTTGACGTGAAAAGTGGGAGACCTCACCTGCCTTCACCCAGTCACTATATTTGATGACGCTCGCCATAGCTCTTCTATTAGAGAACAGAAATAAATGGCTACAAACACCCCGAGAACGAGTACTTTGTCTTCACCACGATTGCCTTATGATCAGACTGGTCTAACAGGTTTTGATCACTTCTAAAAAATGTCGGTGTGGTTCTATAGACAATCTTTGCCGTTTCTTTTTCGCCAGCTGGTACGGGAACTTCGATGGCGCAGCTAGAGTGGCTATGTCTGACCATGACGAGGAAGCCAGAGATACAGGAAAAGATGAAGAAGGAAATAGAAAACAACCTGGGTAAACTATTTTGTTTTTCTTTATTTGTTTCTGTTTTTTGTTTCCTTGAACCAGTTTGCCAAGACAGATGGCATATTACTACGAAAAGATATTTAGAAGCGGAATGGGTGATTGGGCTAGTTAGGCCCTAGTTTAAGCAGTAAAAAGAGCAGAAAACAACTGTACTGCATGACAATAGGATACTAGTCATATTAAAAAAAACAAAAGAAAAAAGATGAAAAATTTATGAGAGATACGTAATTGGTGACAGAGTAAATTGAATAAATGAGGCACCAATCGCCATATAAAGGAAAAGTTTGATCATATCAATCGCAGTATATAAAAAAAAGCTTGATTATATCAAACAAGCTTTGCCCGTACATGCTGATGACAATCAGGCTAATGGGGCATCTACTATTATAGGCGACTTTTTTTTTTTTTTTTCGAGCACCTTGTTTGGCTTTACTCCGTCTTGGTCCTTGCTGTTTTCGGCGCTTCATATATATTGCCAGCACGTTTACCGCTGTCCTCTGCTGGCACTCGAGCCAAAGACATGACACGATTATGAAGTGATCGTTGGGGTGCTTGCGTTGACGAAGAAGCATCCGGCGCTAGCTCTGGCTGGCCTGAGGCTCCCACGCTCGGCCCGCGTGCTATACGGGTCGGTTTGCGTAGCCCGGCGCTTCTAACATTATATTGTTATACTGAAAATATATTTCTCTTTCCACAGGCATCCTAGATGGGGACCAATATTAACTGCAGAACCTCTGCCTCCCCTAGTATAAACGGTGCTTTTTGCTTACAGTCACTAGCATTTATTTTAATAAGGGGATCGTATAGGATTTTCGTTCGAGTTTTCTTAGCCCTGAGGCTACGTTGGGGGCAATGGAGGCTTCTAGCAAGGAGGGCTAATAGGTTAACTTGTAGGCTAATTTGCTCAACCTCTTTAATTCACTTGTAGCGTTCTATTTTAAGAATATTTTATAGTTGGCAAATTGACACGTCCGATGAAAACATTCGAGGTCGGCGCCACGTGGTAAGAAATATGAACCTTGTACCGCGCTCAAGAGCGAAGCTCAGCCGGCGTTGCACGCCCGTGACGTCACTCGCTCCGCCCTGGGCTTGCGTCGCACTTCTGGCACCGCTTGCGCCTTGAACATAAGGGTTGCGGAGCAAGTGCAGAACGAAGGGATCGACGTCACGGGCGAGCAACAGAAGCTTCGTTTTTGTTTCGAGCCGTGTACAAGGGTGGGATTTCTCGCCCACCTTGTTACTTTGTGAATCTCTAGCCATTGAGTAGAGAAGGCTACTCAATGATATGATAGCGATGGTAAGAATTTAGTTATCTGGAGTCTAACAGCTTCGGCATGGTATGACGATGGGCAATAATTTCATCATTTGAATATGTTAGCTAAGGATTCTGTTTTGCAAATCATTTACTACATTTTGGTCATAAAGTTTTTACTAATATATTACGCTCGTAGCCTGAGCTCCATAACGGTCGACAACTTCATTTTGAGTTGTTTTAAATGTATTTAAAGTGTTTTTAATATTATTAGTAGCTGTTGAAGCGCACTGTATATATTCCTCTATTAAAGGGGTGGTGAAACAATATTCAGTTGGAATGTTTTTCATTTTACACGAGCTTACTGGCACACGTGGCACCTAAGTATACTCGCATTGCAACGCCACTGGCTAAAAAACTCCTTTGTTAAGGTGTAATTCCAAGGACAAAAGCGAGCGTTTTCATTCGATCTCTCCTCCGCAAAACTTGACGACGTAGCTGGGCGTCCCAGTACCGCCCAAGAACAATATTTGAACGCGGCTTATCTCTTAAGCTAAAAACTACAATACTCGGTGACTTGATATCGAATTTAGCCCACCTTTTAAGTCGAATTCGTAGAACGTGCAGTAGATATTGTACAAAATCAGCGGAAAGTGCCTTTTTGGGAGTTCTACAGGTAGTCCAAGTTGGGCATGCCCATGCTTGCCCCTAGGCGCCTACATCTACGAGGTGGGATCAGAAAGTTCCGGGACTGATTTTCTAGCGTAATAAGAGAGGGCAGCACAGTGATGCGCGCTCAGCAGTCGAAGGAGCGGACCTTTGTGTCCCGTTGTACAAAAGGGCGCCGCTCTGTGAACATTGGGAGCTGCGCTTCACGAGTTTTTGTGACCACGTGCATGGGCACAATGGCGATTTTACTATAGACGACAAACCAGAGCGAGAGCGAACCTCAGTTTTGTGTCCAACTCGACAAATATAAAGCAGAGACCTTCGATATGATTCAGCAGGCTTCCCTAAAAAAGCAGTGAAGTTCTTTCAGAAGTTTCTTAAGTGGCACTCGCGCTTCAGGAACGGCAGGACATCGCTGGAACACGAAGTGCGGTAGGGCGACTTTATCCGACCTCTCCTTGACTTCGGTGACGTTCTGCCTTTCTTGAGGCGCGAGTGCCACTCAAAACACCTCGCACACCTCACTTTGTTTTTACATAAACCTTCTAGATCATTTTAGAGGTCTCTGTTTTTTGTTAGCAGAGCTTGAAGTAAAATTTATGTTCGTTCTCGTCTTAATTTGCAGTGTATGGAAAGATCGCCATCAGGCTCGTGCATGTGGTCAAGCAAATTAGTGTGGCGCAGCTCCAAATGTTCACAGAGCGACGCCCTTTGGTATAATGAGACACGAAGATTCTTAACTTTGACTGCTGCGCACGCCTCACAGTACTGCCCTCACTGTCTACGCTACGAAATCAATGCCGGAGCTTTTTGATCACCCCTCGTATACTAACCCTGCCCGCGATCGTAAAGACAACATGGGACCCACTGAATACTGCATGGGCAGCCCAAGTTGGTCTTACCCAAGCGGTGACCCGGTGGGGCCCACCTTTTGTAATAACTCCGACCACGTATAGCCAAACATACAAGGTGAAACCCACAGGGGTATCTCATGAGTAGTCCAAGTCGGACATGTCCAAGTGGTGCTTCTGAATTTAATATTAGTAGAAACAGCGCGTTATAAAAAAGCACCAAATGAGAGGTGAATTCTACGATTGCCCCCGTGGAGCCCAACTATGTGCTAAACCCCCCCCCCCCCCTCCCCATATAGTCGAAGTGGAAAACTCGGGGGCATTGCATGGGCAGCCTAAGTTGGGCATGCCCACGCTGCGGCCTCGTGGAGCCCACCTGGAGGGTGCTAACCCTGCCCCGTAAAGTCGGGGTGGGCCCATGGGGGCATTGCTTGGGCAGCCCAAGTTGGGCACGTAAACGCGTTCTACCCGTAGACGCCACCTTTGTGCTAACTGTGTCCACGTATAGCCGAGGTGGAACCCGTGAGGGCACTGCACGGGCAGCCCAATTGGGGCATGCCCACGCATTGCCATAGTGGGACCCATAGGGCTACTGCGTCGGCAGCCCATGAGGGCGTGCTCTCGCTTTGCCCACCACTACGCTAACTTTGCCCTCGCATAACCGAAGTGGGGTTCACCGGGTATTGCACGAGCAGCCTGAAATGAGCCCACGCCACACGAAGGTGGGAACCACGAGGGTATTGCGCCCTTTGCCCGCTTTGGGATCACGTAGGCCCCATTTTCATGTACTACCTGGGATAGAGCAATTGTTCTTACTTTCTATTTTTACTCTTTAACAACAGTGCAATGTAAACGGTTGATTAACTTCTTTGTCTTAACTATATATGCTTAGGATATATGCGCAACAGCATTAGAAGGCCCTATTTTTGAGTCACACAAAAGGTACGATGTCTGTGGGCTCAGGAAAGGGAATATCGATACAGAGTAAGGCATAAACATGTTCTCAGTTGTCTGCCCGCTTCCAACTGTTGGATTGTAACCCCTTCATCAATGAAACTTCTGGAACAGGACAAGATCGCCCCAAGCTCCAAGACAGGGAAAAACTTCCCTACACACAGGCCTGCATCTTGGAGTCCTTGCGCATGTACCCCAACGCTCCACTTGGCATCCCACATAGCACATCGTGCGACACAGAAGTCGGTGAGCGCGTTGTTCCGTGCCATGACATACGAAAGTGGTGACGTGCCACCACTCCGATACAATTTTATCCGCAACTTGGCTTGAGGCGTCTTCCTTAACTGTCTGAACTCAAACAGAGCTTAAGATTATCTACAATGGTCGGCTTTTTTGCGAAACCTGCATATAAATGATAAGGACAAATATACATAGAGATACAAAAATCGCTTTACCAAAGTAAGACACCGCACGTCAGCGTAGAACAGAACATATGCATGTTTTAATGTCAGCGTGCTAGGGACTTTATGATTTGGTGTGCGTAGAATATTCAGTGTATTCTTTTCCTTCGTGTAGAATATTTTCATTTTTTACTGACTCATTACATCATTCGAAGCTTATTCTAATATGCTGCTAATGCTACGAGGAATTTCATGTCTCTGTACACCTTTCCAGCACCTATAGCCCAGGCAAACATATGTTTAGTCACGGAGTTGTGGAGACATGCGTGCCGTCATGTGTTCCGCAGAAGGGAGCTACACATCCTAAGAACTCGTTCCCCGGCCCAGTAGATAAAGGTGGAAGCGCGTAGGATGGGATCAGTGCAATGATCTATAGAAAGTACCAGTGCTACAAGGAATTAATTAGCCCAACGTCATGTGCGTAGTTTCGTTGCCGTTTAAATCCAGGGCGTTCACGAGGAAACAGAACCATGCTTTTCAGCCCGTGTAATCAAACTTATTTGCAGAAAGCTCAAACTTTATGAGAATGTGGCGCTTGTGGTTGAGATAGAACGCAAGAGTTTTGAGAGTATGGGGTTACCTGTATCAAAAGATAATTGAGAACTACAATTTGTTTCTATGAGCCGACGTCTACATAAGACTATAATATCGTGCAAACGAGAAATGACATCGTGGGCGCCTGTAACATATATTAGTTTGAAAAACTTGCCAACAAGAAAGAAAACATTATGCCCTTGCTTGCTGAAAAGTTTTTTTTTTCACTGATATAAATCCCGGATGGGTTAACAATTTCAGCACTTGTTTTGACGATATTAGGCTTAGGTGGACGTCGGTTCATAAATAAAAAATGACTTTCTCAATTACTTTTTAATACAGGTAACATCATTTTCTAAATTTCAGCCTTCTATTCCAACCACTGACGTCGCATTTTCAGAGTTTGAGATTTGTGCGATGCACAGTTACGTAGGTTGGAAACCACTTTTCACTTTGCTGTGCCTGTGCAATAAAAAGCATAGAAGGTCCAATTCTGAGCTGCTCTTTCACCAACACACGACCACAGGGGGAAAGTTCGTTCCCAAGGACACTGGCATCCTCTACAACATCTACGCCATTAACCACGACCCAAACCTGTGGGATGACCCCGAGGCTTTCAGACCGGAACGGTTCCTGGACCCTGTCACGGGCAAGATCAAACAGGAACTACTGCCGCAGCTGATGACTTTTGGCCTGGGCCCCAGGACGTGTCCCGGCGAGAAGTTGGCGCACGTGGACATGTTCTACGTTCTTGTTCGCTTCATGCAGCGAGTCGAGATCAGTGCTCCGGAAGGAAAAGCGAACACCGCCATAGCGCCGCTTGGTTCCAGCCTGTTTTTGATTCCAGGAGAACAGGACGTTGTGCTGACTCGGAAGGACTAGATCGATAAAACATAAACAGCGGGAAGTGTACATTCGGCTATATGTAAGTCGCTGACAGATTAAAAGCACTATTACGTCCATGTTTTTTTGCTTCGCGATTTGTTCTTGGGGTCCTTGCTAACTAATATAACCGTCTTTTTGGCTTTAATGCGATAATAAGTTTGTTCGGGTCTTGCCACGCCTTGTGAGTTTGTTGAGTGCTATCAGCGACGTTAAAAACACTTCTCTCGCATTTTTTAACGTTTTTTATGACCATGACATGCTGAAGGTGTACGAGTACGATGTGTCAATATAGAAGATTATACAGAACGCTGCGTTCCTGAATAATCTGGCAGTCGCCCAGTTGTTCTGCTACCATTCCTCATCCAGTTTAGCAGTCACCTTGTAAACGTTGAGGGAGTTGGACGTCATAATAACTGTTTTGATATTTACGGTGATGATGTGAAGATGTAGCCACAGTATGTACCTCTATGCTGTGTCAATTACCTGAATTTGATCGCTATATTAAATATTAACTATTTTATCTCTATATCAATTTATCAAACTATTTTTATCTCTCTATTGTTCCATTAAACAATTTAATGACTTTATCGCTCAATTCATTAGAAGCTGAACAAAAATAGCCCTTGCATCGCATAGGTTACACAACAGTACTTCGAAAACACGAAGCGTGTGGAGTTTTCTGGGTGGATTCCAGATGCAGTGGAAAGTATTCTCGGGCCGGAGTCCGACAAGGAAGCCCGGCCTGCTATTAACGAGTATCTCGAATATCTGCAAACAGATGATTTTTGCATACTCGTCAAAGGGACCGAGGTCATTAGTTTTTGTCTTAGCATGCACTCTGAGGAAAAAAGGAGGAAAAACGTAGCAACGGCGCGTTTTCCTCCCTCCTACTCCCGCGCACCCAAGCGGACAGGAGAAAAAGGCAGGAACGAGGCTTTTTTCTCCTTCTCCAGGCAAACGGCAGAAAGTTTCCGCCCTCCCGCCACATCTTCTTTCGGTTTCGTTTTTCGATCACGTCGCGCATGTCGTTTAATAAATGTTGTTGAGTTGATTGGGCATCAGCGGCAGCGAAGTTAGCCTTTAATTCTGTCTTCTAGTCCAAACGTGCGGAACATTTTGGTTCCATTGACGTTGTTACCACTAATTTCCTCAAACGAGCAAACGAAGCCGTTAGGAAAAACGAAGTTTTGGAGCAGCGCCAGCTGCGCTACATACACTGGGCTAAAATGGCCGCCTCCTTTTGCGGAACGCCGTTTGGACATTGACGACGTTACGAAAACCGCGGAAACCGCGTCCAAGACAGACAGGTTTTGCTGCCGGGTGCCTGGGCGCTTTCTGTGCTAAGTTCGGGTCTGTTTTTTGTTGCCGAGTGTCAACCGGCAATCAACGTGGTTCTGTATTTTTGCGTGTCGCCAACATAGCAGCAACATCGCGATGCCAGTCTGGTGCGTTGTGAGCAGAATACAGAAATTATCGCCGATGTGACCGTGTGTTCGCGTATCAGTGGTGTAACAACAATATGAGATGGCGTAAACTATCGGGCAGTGATGCCGCTAATCGGGCCGTGATCGTAGGGAGCTGGTGTCGCATGTTGATATTCCGCTCTACGTTAAAGAGTTTAAGAGCACTTGAGGGATTAGGTGCAATCAAACGACGTGCGGATAGTCATGTTGGAACGATGTTCTGAACCGTGGCTGCTATCGTACAGTGGCCAATGTGACTTTCGGTTGTTTCCTCCCCAAGAGGGATTGCGCTCTGGGGAAAGGCCTGAATACTGAAGTTTAACGGAAAGTGCGTATATTTACAGTTTGAAATTTAGGCATTAAGGAAAAATGGTGGATAAAATCGAGCAAAAAAAAAAAGCTATCCTTTATTTTGCTGTTTAAATACACTACGATTCCTGGAGAGACTGCCCTCCAAGTGGCGCGGTGGGATGCGCGCTAGATGTGTCCGAGCTCACCATTGCGTGGCTAAATATAGTTAGCACATGCCACACGTACCGGCTTTGACTGCATTAAAGTTGATCGAAAAGTGAATTCTCTCCTGCAGGCGAACAGCACAGATAGAAAACAAATACTACGATAGAAATACTGCCTCTGACGTGCCATGCGGGGAAGAAAACACGTGGCTTAGAACCGCAGTGGAGCGGCTTGATTTATTGGCGTTCAAATCGTTACGACATCAACGTTTACTTTTAATAAGAGAGTGATTCCTTGAGCCGTTCAACATACTTTCGGTGGCAAGACTCACTGAAAAAAAAGTCTGCATGCTGGGGATGATATTTATTGATCAGGCTGTCACGGAGAAAATCCGTACCATGAAAACGACCAGTATAAAAGGCGGAAATTCACAGCTCAGATGTGGTGATCGGGGCGTTCTTCTGTGTTGATGTCTGTATGTTTATCTGTATGGGCTCAATGTAAATGCCCAATATATATAGATCTGTTGCGATAAAGTAGCAAGAAGGGCCCGAAGTGTGACGGTGCCGTGAGCAAATAAAAATATTTTTTGTAGCACATGAATTGGGTGGTACATAGCGCCCCTAGTCTAGCTACCTGAAATTGCTCAGCTTGACCCTGCCATCTGGAGTCAAACCAGTTAGCCTTCCCTCACGCTCCGATGAACCGTGCAGCAATGAGCGAAGTAAACTGCTTAGAATTCGCTGTTTTGTGAGCGGTTTTTGGTTTCGCGAGTGGTTTATCAGCCCTCCGTAATGTGCGGTGCTGACGAAGGAATTTTGGTTTGAGGTAAGATGTAAAGTGCGTTAAGTACATGGGTACCAGTTGACAACGAGAGGACTGAATGACTGCTTTCGAAACGCAATTTTCTTTACCTGTGGGGGAAAGCCGGCTTCGGAAATAAATAGAGTTCGCGGAAAGCTTGTGTTACGCTTTTATTTGCTCCTCCTTTCGCCCTCTTCAATAGACGTAGCGTCCTCGCTAAGTTTTATTGAGCTCAATTTGCTCTATTCGGGGCCGCCATAATGAGATACAGGCGACAGAGAAACCTTGCGCCCCTGCTTTCAGGACGAACGTTTCTCCCTTTCTAAAGGAACATAGCTTACAAGAGCCTTCCTTCTTTTAGCAAAGATTATAGGGAACCCTCTTATCTAAAAGTGTACGGTACCACGCACCCGCTTCGATTACTCGAGCTCTCCAGACGTTCAGGTGATACGAAGTAATTCAACACTTTGACGGCCTTCATATCAGGGGACGTCGCACCCCTATTCCCTAGTCAAAGAGTAGCAGAAGCCCTTCGAGGTGATAGTGACGGACGTCATTTAAAGGAGCAACTTCGCAACCAAACTACACGTTCGCGGCATCGAGCCACCGCTTTCAAATAGCGTGCGCACGAGCAGTGTACACGAATCGAAGAGAGAATACCCGGATGCCGTCCCATTGCTGATCTTCCGCCAACCCCTTTTGATCACATGACGGCAGCTCCCCTTCTTTCGAGTCATATTCATCGCAACAGATGTCACCACCTCCCTGTCCCGGAAGCTGCGTACAACTCAAGGTCACTAAGCGTCCCTTCTTGTCATTTCCGGCCGTCGTGTAATTGCCAGCGGACGCTCTCTCCGTGCTAGCGAAACAGACTCTGCTTTGTCAGTGAGTTTCCATCAGCCGACACCGACTCGGTGACCGCTCACGCGGGAGCCGTTCTAGCGTAAAAACGTGAAACCGGATAACAAGAGGACATAGCGACAGCGGAACATTCTGTTGGCGCGTGCAGCGGTACAAGGCCTACGCAGGTGCGTATCATAAAAAAAAACAAAAAAACACGCGCGTGTTTGTGAACGCGAACGACCTCTGTAAACGCGCTGGCCGCCCCGCTCCCATACGGGATTGTCGAATCGTTCACGTGTGTGAATGCTGGAGCGAGCGCCACAGCGGGTAAAATTTAGCCGGAAAATTTCGCCGCTAAATTTAGCGGAAACGTTTCCTCGCTATATTTAGCGCGAAATTTCGCCTAAATGGGAGGCGAGCAGGAAAGGAGAAGGAAAGAGCACGGATGATGAAGAGGGTCATACCCTCCTCTTCGTATTTTCCCCTCCTCCTCCTCAAGAGCTGCGCTCTAACTCAGCCTTACAGGGGAATGTAAACCTCTCATTTTTTCTTACCCAAAGTTTTATACAACTATGAAATTCTGCCAGCTTAGCGTCCGCGAGTAAAGTGAGAAAGCGCATTAGCGCGGCAACCGAAAGGCGACAGAAAAATATTCGATTTTACCCTCGCACGAGGCGTTGCAGAAACTTGAGAGATACCGGCCTATTGCATCAGTGCACTCGAGCTTCTGGCATCTGTGATCTGTCAGTGTGACCTATCAGACTGACAGTCTCTGCCTTCGAGAGTGTGCACATTTGCCTGTGGATTGTATATTTTTCATTTTTAATCTTGTCTATTAAATCAGTGCGCGCATGTGAGCATGTGTAGACACGAGAAAAAACTTTCCGTCACGTTGGATGTATATTCAATATATTTTATTCGCTTACCTCAGCAAACTGCGAGACCTGCTTGTCAAATGTGTTATGCTTGTGCCTCCTACTTTTGAATTTTTCTTTTTATAGGTGGAGAGTTTTTTTTTTTTCTTTTATTGTTACCGTTCAACGTCCACACTGTTCCTTCGCTTAATTTTGTTTGATCGAGGAGCAGCCGCACCCTTCTTATGTTTCGAATCCCAACGTGCTCCACAGCGCTTCTGCTCTGCGAGGTGATGCCTCTCGTAATGTGCTTACGAAATCCACACCTCTCCTCACTTAGACAGAGGCCCCGCAGCGCTGAGGTGGCTTCGGAACACGCACCAGTCCCTATCTTTGGAAGTCATCTCAACCTGAATCCGCCCGACGCGGGAGAAGATTGAAGCTATTTTGTATCCCCCGTAGCCAAAAAAATGTTTGCAACAGCCTGTAACGCCGAATTAGAGTGCAGCTCTTGAGGAGGAGGAGGGAAGGGTACGAGAAGAGGGTATGCCCCTCCTACCTCCTCCTCACCTCTTCATCCTGCGGTCTACCCCTCCTCCCCTCCTGCCTCCTCCTCCCCCTCCTCCTCCCCTCCCGCTTGTCCTCCTCCTCCTCCTTCTTCCCCCTCCCCGCGCGGTGCATTATGGGACATTTCCCATAATATACCGCGCGGTTACGCCGACGCCGCTTAAGCGGGAAACGGGCGCCCAAGAGCTGCGCTCTAAAAGCAAGACCCAGCCGCAGTCTTTCCGCGGACTACCAGCCTTTTATGCCCACGAGCATCCGACCGCTCACGCAAACAATCTGCGCAAGTTGTATGTTAGTCAGGCTGTATGGATACGAGAGTTCCCAGGAATCCGCGGTTGGATCCCGAGTGAAATACTCAGGCGAGCAGGACTTGGATCCTGGATAATAACTGCGTGGCGCGGGAAGTTTGCCGCCACGTCAACCCTATCCTCGTCCCCAGTGATAGATACCAATCAACATTCACGCTGTTCCATTGCTTTATTTCGTCTGATCGAGGATGCTGCGCGCGCTTCTTGTGTTCCCAATCCCAGCAGCCCCCACACCGTTTCTGCACTGCCAGGTGTTCGCCTCTCGTGGTGGGATGACGAACACACCACCGCTTCCTTACCAAACTCTCAGGACACTTAACATCGCCCTTAATTAAAGGTAATAAAATATAACTGCGCTAAGGTTGAACATTATGAAAAACACGCACCCTTACAGCATGTTTTGTATACTTTCAATATGTAAAGCATATTCTTAATAGTTTTCTTTTTCGTGTGTGCGCATTTCAAAAGATGTGGTCCACGCGGCTACCCAGTCTGACCATTAGGTTGGAGATATTAAAAGTATAGGTTAAACCTGGTGTCACTAAACTGACGCGAACTTTAAGTATACTTTCTAAACTGTATTTTGAAACTACAAAATATTACACTTGTAGAATTGAGCAATTCGGTTTTATTCTGCGGTCTTATGTTTTTTGTTTTTTTTTAGAACACCGTACTGTATCCCATGAGCTTTCCATTAGAAAAGGCCCAGTTCTCTTGGGACTGGCGGTGGTTGACGACTGCCTCGGTGTTCCTGCTGTCCTTTTATGTGATACGCTTTTATCGCAAAGTATCCAAATACCCCAAAGGACCTTTCCCGCTGCCCCTGGTCGGAAATCTCCTGAGTGAGTCATGGTTCTTTATGTCAACACTCAGAGGTTGCGCTTTATTTAGTCTTTCTCCTAACTACGCGTGAAAACTACTCTAAGTATTATTTACTTTCCAGACGCAACAATGTTTAAATTATGCAAACATATAAATTGCGCAACTTGGCCTTTGCTCGAAATACTACACAAAGTTGCGTTAATATTTATAATACTGTATACTGTTGATATTATTGGGTTAATAATATACATATTAGTATCTCGATTTTTCTAAAAGCATTAAGAACAAGCATCGATTTCAAGCGACGTAAATATCACGCTTGCTAAGAGCTAACAGTAACCTTTAAACCGCCGAGAACAGTGTCCGCGCTATTAGGTAAAAATATAAGTGGAAATCTTCCCTTTCATTATCCTCCAACAAATATCAGTCGCTCGGGTAATAAAATAGGGCGCCGAAAATGTGTTATATAGGGTCAATAACTGCTTAGTTCTCAAGCTGAAAATTAAAGTAACACAGCATTATATACATTTTAAGTACCCATTTTTTGTATAGTGATGCACTGTAGTGTTTTATTGTTCGAGACTTCATTAGTCTAAAGGGGCGCAATGTCCGAAACATCGATCCTGCGTAAGAAAAATATCCGCACACAGACAATGCGGATACTCCTCATGATGCCTAATGACTCAAGCAGGAGCGTTTTTGGCACCTCTTCATTTCATAATGACGTTTCACAGATTGGAGTGATTCGCCCTGTCAACGTTCTAAATAAAAAGCTCAGTGGTCGTTTTTAAGAAGTCACAGGAATCGTAAAAAACATTTTTAACGCGCCTAGATACCTAGCCGCAAGATACATTTTGGGTAAGGAAAATTTTTTTCAAGCACAAGATGTCTGCCACGAAATTCAATTCAGGCAGAGGTGCGCTTGGACCAAGCCCCATTCTAGGCCCAGCACATTATTTCTGGATCGGCTTGGCTGCTCGGCCGATCGCCATATGATGCCTATTGTGTCTCCCTGTCGAGGCACCGAGTTCGTCTGGCGTCTGATACCGCCTGCCACTTTTGCGAACCGCAGGCCTGAAGCGCCCAGTGACGTCTGCCACACCCCCAGCGTCTACCATCTTCTGCAGCGTCCGCAAGACGCAACCATCAAAACGACGCTGTAGCGTCGATTTATGCGTGAGCCAGGGTCCAGTAGAAACGTCTGAAGGAACTAAAAATTAAACGAAAAATTTACAAATGAAGAGCTTGCGATCTCAGCGTCCTATCTAAACCCAAAGAATGCATTCCTTTTAAGTTTGTTCTTTTTGTTTCCTTTCATAGTGACAAAGACCAGGTTGGTAGAGCGTCTTGACGCAAAGCAAAAAACGCGGCATAAAAGTAATCAATTTTGAAAGCCAGACGCAGAGCTCAGACATTGACAGCTACAATTCTTTACACGTTTAAAAAGCAATAACGGGGACGTATATCTGACGCTTGGCAAGCATCCGATTGCTTCCAGACAACTGACTCGCTAATTTTCATTGGCGGTATGCTATGAGCACTGGCACCATGGTCGTGATCACGACACTTGCAGCCCTTCAGAGAACAGCCATGACACTACTACCGTAGCTACCATCATTATTCGGCATCATCACGCGCAATAAAAAAACTTAAGCCAGACCATGAAAAATAGCTGAAGTAGGACGCTAGGCTTGTGCCAGTCCCTCTACGGAGGCAATTACCCGCGCAAAGGTTCCCGAAGCTTGTGAACTTGCAGCAGATGTTTGCTAAAAGCCACATCGGTTGATGAAATCATTCTACACACATCCCAGTGAACGTGAAACAGCTAGCAATAACGAAAATAAAAAAAGCTACACCGGGAATAGCGCTACACCCAGGTGCCTACAGCCATGTTTGTCAGTGTTTAAAATCAAAGAGGAATCGCGGTCGCGTGCTATTTTTGAAATGAAAACTAATTACTGTATTTAGAATATACGTTTTCTAGACACGAAACTACTTTGACCAAGAGGGTCAAATAGTAGTTTACACAAACTACTATTTCTTAACCAACATTTTCCGAACGCCAATAATATCTCCTGCAAGTGAGAATCGAAAAGGGTGCAAACCATGGAAGCACGTTTCGCTAACGGGCGAGGTCAAAAGGGGGATGTGCCTCCAACTAATTAAGTCTTACGGCGTACTTAGTGGGTTATATTTTCGAGAAAAATTGGTTGTATGGTATTTGTGTCCTATCTACACACAGAAGCAAGTTGCACCCTTGAGAGATATAAAAAAAATGTATTCCAGAGGCATTACCCATAGCTACACCCTCTCAGCCCCTTTATTTGAGAAATACATTCTTTTCAATTATAAAGTTAGGCGATGTTGCGCAGAACACATTCATTGTTGAAGGTTCTGGAAAAGGGTGCTACGATAAAGTTGGAACACGCTTCATTTTCGAAGGGTGTTCCAAGGGTGCCTGAAGGGTGCTGTTTTGACAGCCGCTTCAGACAGCTTGACGTATCGACCAGGTCGAAAAATAATTGCTCGCACCAATGACTTTTACTTGCAGGTGCGTTCCTTGAACTTATACATATTATGCTCTACATGAAATATTTTCAGAAACAGCGCAACATACACATAGCCTTCCTAACTGCGCATAGCCTTCCTAACCTCTGACTGAGTGTCTTTCAATTGGGGACCCTGAAGCGATTCCTATGCCCGACGTAGGAATCGCAACAGGGTCAGGATTCCTACGTCGGGCATGATTTGTGGCGACTGAGTTTGCTATTTCTGGACATTAATAATGTGCAGCTTGTGCTCGTTGTTCGCAAACTTGTTTCTGGTACAAGAATATCTTTAGGGCGCTGCAGCAGCGTCCCATTTTTAGTTCTTTAGATAGGGTCCTAAGGATGTTCCTGTATCACCCATAGAATGTTAGATCTGGAAGAAGATTATTCGCATCACCTCAAATGCCGACGTACCAACCTCGGTTTTCTGCAGGGAAAATAGTCCTCTTATCGCTCTCCTCTTCTAATCAGCAAGGGGGAGCCATGTTGGAGCAAGGTAAAAGGTGGTGAGGATAGAGAAAATGAACAGGCAGGCAAAAGAGTAAATCGCGAAGTGTACGTCGACCTTTAAAGATGTATTCACACTGGCAATCGAATCACAACCGCAAACCGGATCCACTCGTTTTTATCGTCAAACGCGCGTGAAATTCCATTGAATCTTTAAAAGGGTACTCTAAAGGTTGGCGCCATTGTGTTCAGTTTGCATTGCTGCATACCCGACCCGGAGAAATAACACGGAGCCAACGGTTTCAACAACAAGAAACTACATTTAATTGGACATGGACAAGACGATTGACATTGTTACCAGCGAAGCCCGAGACCAGGCAGCGGCTGCCCGTGCGCCGGCTCTGATCCGCCTTATCAAGGCGGCGCACGCGATGTGCGCGTGGCCGGCTTAATTCCGCCGCCACGCGGGAAAGTTCGCCACCTGTGCCCCGCACTTGAGCAACTAAGCTGGGGAGCCGCCAAGGTGCCCACAACCCTTTCCGGTATGCTATTTAGTATCGTGAAATTCATAATAGTTATTGTAAAATCGAGAGACGAAAATGATGCAAAAATCAACATTCAGATATACCCGCACTTTTTAGTGCATGACGTCAGTGGCAGGCAAGCTTGCCAGTCGAGCGGGCAGTCTAAAAAATAGATTATGCCAATCATTTGTGCCGTGCTGGAGCGCGGGGACTGGAGCGAGCTTCCAAAGCATTCATTTGACACCATAAATCTGCATCGAATCTCTTCCAAAGAAACTCTACAGTCCAAAGATTGAAAACTGCTTTCCAGTGACATCACTCTTTCGTCGTTGCCAGTAGAGACTTTCAGTTTAAAAAAAACACGGTGAGCACCAAAACTGTAAATTCAATAACTTCGCGAAAAAACAATATATTTACCTAATATTTAGGATACTATTTTAGCGATGTTTGTTGGTGAGCTTAGCAGAATTTCAAGCAAATCAGAGATAATGAAAATCCTGTAGAATACCCCTTTACATAAAATTGAAAGAATAAAACACGGAGGACAAGCACAGGACAACCACTTTGCTTGTTCTCCGTGTTTTATTCTTTCAATTTTATGTATTCATGTTTAACCCGCTCGCCTTCACCAGTACCCCTTTAAGCAACCGCGTTTACAGTAGCTTTGCGAACGTGGTTCACTCGCCAGTGTGAATAAGGTGTTAAAAAACGTTTTAGTGTGTATGCTGTTCCGGAGTATGCCGAAGAACCGATGAATCATGAGTTGAAACGAAAGATTTAATCGGCAAACTTGTCCCCCCCCCCCCCCCCCCCCACACACACAAGAAAAAGAGCTACTATAGTCGGTTACAAGTCAAGAAGGTAGGAGAAGCTCCTCCCACAAGTGTGATGCGCCCGTTTCAAATCCCTCCGCAGTCGAAAGAAGAGTTCACTGGAAACGCTCCTTGTTCCGCTTCAATGGATTCCCACTTGTCTCCGATCCCACTTTTTAAGAAAGCGACCTTTGTATTCATCGGAGAGGGAACCGAGCCCCTGAAAGCAGCCTTTGTATCCATCGGGGGGGAAGCTAATCCCCGAAAGTCGTATTTGTTTCCGTCGGTGGGGGAGAACTCTAATCTCCCTCTCGTGGCTTCCACAATGCTAAGTCAAAGTCAAAAGGTAAAGCAAATATGTACAGAAAGGCAAGACCCTCCTCGCGCGTTGGCCGCGACGTCACGGAAACGGTGGGACGCTATTGGATGCGGAGGTGGCGGAGGGATATCCGATTCCCTTTGAGGGGCATTTGCCGCTACCTTCTTAACCTGTAACTGACTATAGACAGCGGAAATATGTGAGACGACTTTGCGGCGTAACAACAAGCGAGAGCGAGACTGACTCGACAAGGTCGCGGGCCGCTCCCCGTCTAGTGTCCGACGGCATCATGAAAATTCGGCCGAGAAGATTCGAGCATCGAGCGTTCGGGGTGAGAATGAACAGTCACTTTAGAGAATAAGAAACTTGGGCGAAATTATAAAAGTTACGCTCCGAGTAAGAGTAAAGCGACTCTTTTAGAATACCTTGACCGGGCGCTTCTTGCTCGGCCTCGCATGCCGCCAAAATGCACTTCATATTTTCCTACAGAGTACACCGAAAATTTCTCCGTATGAACATTGCTGCAATTTTATTTTCGGTGCAATTAGGCTTACGAAAGGAGAAGCTCTACAAGAAGGCAGAAGAGTGGTCACGCAAGTATGGCGACCCGTTTACGCTATGGATGGGAGAAAAGCCGATGTTGATGCTGACTTCGTACCAAGTGGTAAAGGAAGCCTTCATCGACAAACGGCACGAATTCGCCGGACGCTTTCCGATGAAGATAGGTGGGTAATCCATAGTGATCGGATCGAATAGCTCGTGGCCCCACCACAACGTTCCCCAGTGATCACGTTGTTTCGCTTCTTTCTTAGTGCTAATAGCTCCCTTGTGTCATGTACAATCATTAAATATAAAAAAAGAAAGCGACCCATCGTGCTAATTTGGTTAACCTGCCAGTCATTTAATACATTCTGCTTCGAACTAGGTTTGTAACTTGAATTTTAGGTTTGCAGTGCCTAAACTCTGACAAACGAAGAGACAATGAAAATTGTGGAAACTAAAGTCATAGACAAAGGCTAAATGTAGTGTTTTCGCGCATTTTATTCATGCATGTAAACATTGAGACTATAAAGAAAAGAAAGTTTCTTCAAATTATAATGTAGTTTTGGGATATTTGATTCACACATAATAGTTGCGTTGTTATCTAGGTTTTAGTAGGTTTCTCTTTCGCGTTCTGATGATTTATTATTACAAATTATAACGTTCCAGGTTACTCGTGGCCCCCGAATGTTGAAATTCTAAGGAAAACATTTCTGGCTGCAGAAGATAAAAACAGCGCAAAAAAGCGACGGACCGGATGAAGACAAACACAGATAGAGCGCCCTGTCTATGCCTACAGCGCTCTGTCTGTGTCTACCTTCATCCGGTCCGTCGTTTTTTTTTTTTTTTTTTTTGCGCTACTTCCATTTTTTGAACAATGTCATAGCAACTCGCCCAAGCTTTAACTTTAGCGATGTTTAACTCGTAATATTGTGCGCGTTTTAAAATAAAAAAACACGCAAAGTAGCTTGATTTCTTTCGTGTAAAACTGAAAAATGCTAAGTGAGTTTTGCCTTAATAGCCACATTACACAACCTCTACGGGACATTTGACGGAAAGGTTGCAAATCGATAGGCCTCACGCTCATTTTAGTTGCGTGCATGAGCCGTGGCTAACGACAGCTCCCTAGTAACAAGTGTAGATGGCGACGCGTGATTCAGTCTTTTAGTTTGTATTTGTCGCAGTTGGGGCGCACGCTGTCTGAATACCGCACCCCTGAGTGAGCCAGGAAGTTTAAAACCAACAAGTGCGAGGCTACAGATAACGACTGGATGACAACCCAAATACCATTTCTGGGTTGAGAACGACGTTGCAATCTGATGGAGCCAATCAGGCGGCTCCAAAAATGCATCGTCACGGCGTTCGTTGACTTTGCCCGTTAGTGCTACTGTCGGAACCGGTTATGTCAAAGTCGGTTCTAATGAAATAGCGACTACAGCGAAACGATCCCGATTTTACATTCCCTTTTGCAGTTCGTTAACCGAAGTCGGTTATAACAAAATCGCGGATATAGCCAAGTGATCTCCAATTCCGGTTGATTTCGTTATAATCGGTCTCGACAGTACAACCGGCAAAAGCAATCACGCAGGCAAAAAAAAGCACAGGATTATGAGGTGTTTCCTTTGCGTGATCTGTTTAGACAGGGGTAGCAACTGCACAATGACCACGAGTGAGGCGATCAGGCACTTTTGGTGCTGCTTCATTTGCTTTATAGATTGGCAGGGTCGGCTGCCAATCTATAATCTCTCAGAGCTATCTGTAGGAAAGCTAGAAACAACCTTCTTAAAGGACACATGCAAAGGAAAAAAACATTTTTTTTAGACAGCTTAGATGGAAAAAGGTTGTCATAAAACGATTTTACAACGGAGAAAAAAAATTTTTAGAGCTATATTTACGGCGCTATACGAATTTGTAGTTGGCACTCGCGGGAGCCGCCGCTGGTCACGTGGTAGGCCCGCGCGCCGCCGCGCTGCGTCGCCGCCGCACGCTGAGCGTTCTGCGAACGCCGCTTCAACGCGTTTCTCCACGCCGCCGTCGCCGCCGCCGCACAAGTTCGTCTGCTTCGGGGCGCCGCCGCCGTCGTCTGGCCGGCGCACAGGTCTATCACGTCTGCTTGCGCTTTTTCAGGAGTTTCCTTTGGGCTTTAAAAGATACTTATTCATCTTAGTTTTTTGTTATACTTCAAACAAAGATGAATAAGTTACTTTTAGAGGCCATAGGAAGCTTCCGAAAGAACGCAAGCACCACGTGATAAATAAAGACCAGCCACGTGATAAATACAGACCACTTTTCCGCGGTGCCCGCGGGCGCCAACTACAAATTCGTTTTGCGCCGTAAATATAGCTCTAAAATTTTTTTTTCTTCGTTGTAAAATCGTTTTATGGCGTCCTTTTTCCATCTAAGCCGTTAAAAAAAAATGTTTTTTTCCTTTGCATGTGTCCTTTAAGCGCGGACACCTTCAAAAAAGGTTTCACGTGTCTAGTTCTGCGCCGAACACATTATCTAACTAATTTCAAGCAAACGTGGATATAGACTATTTCTGTGCTGCGAGAGAGCGCACTTTTTATCTGATTCATTACTTGATGATGAGTTGGTGTGATTTTTCAGGTGCTCTCCAGACGCAGAAGAACCATGACATCGCGTTTGAAGATTACAACCCTACGTGGAAGGCGCTTAGGAAAGTTGCGCTTACTGCAGTCAGGTGCGAAACACTGCTAACACTGAACATATTGCTGTGATTGCGAAGGATACAGACTGAAATACAGTAGAATTTTGAAACCTGTTCCATATTATTAAACTGGGCGTCGTGCTAAACGAAAAAAAAAATTATCATATAGACATGTTGCCAGGAATTAGTTTTTTTTTTTTTTGTTTTAACTAACACGGGTAGTACAGAAATATTTTTTATATGGCATACATGAAGTATTTAACTGCAAAACCAAATTGTGCATCTTATACAAAAGTACTTGCCTTCGGGAAAGCCGGAGTAATAAGTAAAACAATTATTATGAAGGGACGCAAATGTTAGGGTAAGCTAAATGGGTGGATATATATCGAAACACAAAGAGAAACTCCAGGTTAGAATAGGGACTGTTCTAGTTCTGTCCGCTTTTTTTTTTTCACGTGTCGTTGTCGTTTGGCATATTTATGTTCTGTGCTTACAATCTGAGTAAATAAATTAGTTGATTGAAGAGCAACTTTTCTGCGTTCCTTTGCCTGCCCCTTGTCTTCTTTTTTTCTCGATTTATTTTGAATAGCAATGTTGGCATTCCGTGATTTTGCTAGGCTTCACTTGATACTTAGTCTCTGCCAGGAAATACGCCATGAGTGACTCCGCGGAAACGCTCTGCGCTGAAGTCGTGGACGCCTACGTGGACTCCCTGGAGAAAGGACCTAATACGGTAGACTCCAAGGATCCATTTCAGTTCATTATATTCAACATCGTCGGCACATACGTCTTCGGAACAAGGTAGGAACAGTTTTATCATTCAGTTCATAGCACTGAACTTGACGTGACACTTCTTTTCACTACAGTTGGTATTTCTAGGCTTTACCAAGACATCCGTTTCTGTCATTCGAAGTCTTCAAAGTAGTGCTTACTTATGAGTGAAAGGCTCTTCAAGCGTCTTGTCATTCCGAACATGACCACCCACGAGATGTTTGCTTTGAACAAAAAATGCCCCCCCCCCCCCCCTCCTTTTTACCAATATATTATTGCGGTAAAAATCCCAATAACAAAAGTGGTTTTACCTCACATTACACTATCGTCGTTTCAGTTGACGGAAATACAGGTGTTCGTGACGTCGGCAACTATTGGAGAAATCCAAAGGCGTCCTGTCCTTGCTGCAAAGAGCAGTCGCTTTCGGCACGACACGTTCAGCTCGATAGTTGGACTATGCCCAACTCTCGAACACTAAAGTGTTGGCTGAGTGTTGTGGCAGCTCAATCAGAAACGGAGAAAAGGAAATGAGTGTCACGTGCTCGCCGACTCCCGTTGGCGGCGCGCATCTGTTTCCCCGAGACGGTTTGTTGCTTTTGCTTGTTGGGGAGCGGAGGGGACACTGCAGCAGGTTGTTCCAAGGTTGCGATAGTTAAAGCAGGACTGACAGAAGACGCGGCTGCAAGCGGTATCGCCAGAAAGACCGGCCACGACGACACTGCTGCAGAGTGCAGCCATGTTTGCCGTCAGGAATGGGTAGTATTTCAAATACAAGTATTTGAAATACGTATTTCAAATACTTTGTGTATTTTGCATTTGTATTTAATTACAAATCGGGTAATGTATTTGACGTGCATATTTAAATACTGAAACGTGGGTATTTGAAATACAATTGTAATTAAATACAATTTCGTGGGCGAAAATACATTCTCAAATTTATTGTCACTGTTCAGAGCAGGAAGAACACTACGTTCTGCACCGAATGCAGTGTCTCTCAATCAAGCACAAGCGTTTCGTGCCTTTGTGATTACGGTGCTAGTCCAGAGCAAGAATAGTGACGAAATCGACGTTCATAGGCAGACTGGCGAAGTAAGTGCCTATGACAACTTGCGATGCTTTCCAGCCTGATTTCCATCCATATTTTTGCCTGGAACATCCTAAATGAGCGGGTCGTCCAGATTTTCGTAACTGGTGCGAGTTGCAACAATATATAAATTCTCTAGCTAGTTCTGCGCGCCTTGGTCGTCTCGGTTCTTTGTCGTTCTATAAAAATGTAATCGACGAAAAAAAGCTGCTTAAAGCTCTGTACTTTTTTCACCTATTACGTCCAAGCAGATGACATTTTTTTTGTGATTATAATTCTATTACGTTACTAGAGCCTCGCACACTAACTCCCGAGTGTGCGATGCAAAATTAAAATGAGATAACCAGAATCCCGTTGCAGGTGCCCTGAAGTCGCTGACGCAAATTTTGAGGAATGTATTTGGAAAAGTATTTGGGGGAGACCAAATACATTTGACTGTATTTGTATCTTGTACTTAAATGCTTTTTTGGAAATGTAATTAGATTTGTAATTAAATACATTTTAACGAAGTATTTTGCATTTGTATTTCGATACATATTTGCATGTATTTTGCCCATCCCTGTTTGCCGTGGACCATTTCATTAAAAATAGCAGAAAGAGAAATGCCCTCCGTCCTCTCTCCCCGGCACGTCATGTGCTCTGAAGACTGGGCAGGACGCGACATCCGTCTGGCGTGAAAACGCGGTGAAAAATCGCGTTATTTCAGCAATATCAGGTGCAAAATCTGGGGTTAAGATGTTCAAGTTATCGCACATTCTTATACCCGATAAAGCGATTGACTTGGGACAAGCCTTGACTCACCTGCAGCGCAAGTAAAGAGAGAAAAATTATTACAACCCTGTAAAACCTTGTGCTGACGTTGAAAAACTAAAACGCACATTTGGGCTCGGGGACTACATTGCAACTGTAGCAGCCCAGCGAAGGTACGCTAGCTGGCCATTTGCTGATATGAATGGGCACAGTACAGCAGACTGGTCCTGAACTATCCATAAGTATTATAGACAGGCAAACCACTTTAGAGCGGCAGCAGCGAGCGAGCGTTAGACGTTCGATACAGCCAGGGTGCAGCACACGGATACTGCACACACCATGAAGAACAGTCGATGTGTCGTCTGCTATTGGGATCGGGGGCGTGTCTTGTCCCTCTTTCACCACGCCGAATTCTTCGCAACGCCTGGATGCAATAAAATGGAACCTCCCTAAGAACACTTGGTGCAATGGTCTATTCGTGAGCCGCAAGCGACGATATCGCGTTCTTACTGAATTTTGACTGTGGTTTACTGTGTTTCGCAACGCAACTGTGTGTGCAAGAATTGCGCCAACGCACTCCGTAACGTTCTGCATCCGACTGCCATAACTCAATGCACCGCGCTCAAACGCCAACGTGTCTACGCTAGACTCTAACGGTTGCAGTTCAAAGTTGTGCACCTAGCCGTTAGAGTGCTGTGACAGTACCCGACGCCACGCACTCCGGTGTTACCGCTCACTGTGATTAAAATACATTGAGTTTTAGTAGAGCGTACACTGCGCAAAGCGGGCCCAGTGGGCGCGTGTTCAATTCATACTTTGTAGTGGCAACACGAGTTCCCGCTAGCAATGTGAAGCTCTAGCGTACGGTCTACTAAACGTACGTAATAGAGAAGTTTAGTAAACCGTACGCTGCGGAATACAGCACTAGCTGTCAGAGCCGTGCATAGAGAGAGTATGGTCAATGGGACGCGTGGGCAGAGCTAGGGCGTGCACCAGATTCAGAAAGAGTGCTTTACAAGATTTCTTGACTAACCAGAAGCTGGAAAGAATTCTCTAACGGGGGTACCGAGAAACAGCTTAATCATAGGTATTTCGTTTCATCGAGCGCGTAAAATGTAAATGTAGTAACGTTTCATGGTCGAAAATAGGGTGCATGTGATGTTTCGATTATGATCATGCAGAAAGATGTAAGAAACGAATGTGCCGCTCGGACGTTGTTTTTTCTCGAACAGAGTGTGATCGCTCGGACGGTAGATTCCCGGCCCTCGGCTCCTTGCGTACGGATTATGTCGATCGGTCCGCTAGTCGCGCTCTTCCACCATGATACTGGATGAGCGTGATTGAAACATCACGTGCAGCATATTTTCAGTCACCGAGAGTTACTCCGACGCGCTTATGCATTCAGTTTCCCGCGACCACTGCCAGGGTATTATATCCGGGTTCCGGTTGGCCACAATTGAGTTTCTAATGACGCCCTGAAATCCGCCCATCCCGCTTTCAGCCAATGGCGCTCCTCATTTGTCTCCTATACTTTCCAATGAATGGCCAAACTCTCCACATGCTCTGGTTGCTGGCGCCTGCTCCATCCACGCCTCAATGTGACAGCACGAGCTCTCGCTTGAAACACTAAGCTCTTGCGTACGGTCTACTAGGTGTCTGTATTAGATGGTTCAACGCTTAGTCAGTGGTATGGCTCAGTTTCGACCCATTCTTCGGTGTTCACCTCTCAAACCTACGTCCGGCCAATGTGATTCAAGAGTACAATTATATGAACCGGTTTGAGTTGTTTCAGGTTTGAAAATGAAGGTTCTGAGCTGGCCAGGATTAGGCGGATTAACGAGTCTGTTACCGAGCTGGCGCCCAATGGCCTACCCAGCGACATCGTGCCTTGGCTTGGCATATTGCTCCGTAACAGAGAAAAAAAGATAGAGTCCCTCTACACCGAGTTCTTTGAGCTAATCGAAGCGCTCTACAAGAAGGCTGTACACCGCCATGTTCCAGGTAAGTTCATTTTCGACAAAAAGTATTCTATCTTGTGTTCACCTATTTTGTTTTAATTACTGAACAGTTTGGTCTAAGAATTCGCCAGTTCTGGCTAATATTTCGAACGAAGCATTATCTCCAATTATGGCTTGCGATAGAACCACTGAACCACTGAACTTTGACTTCAGGGTGTTGTTATTTTTTTTGTTTATAAAAACAATTAATAAAACGCAGAGTAAAAACATAATTAAAACGAACTGTTCAAATTGCGCCACTAAAAGTTGATCTACAATGACGTACTATTGCTATATAAACTTCCGCTTGACGCAGCGAAGTCATTGCCATTAGCCCGTTCTTCCCACGGGGATCATGATGACGATACCTATGGTCTGGCCGTCTTGTAATACGAGCAATTATTGTGTAACTCGCAGCTTGTTAAAAAGCCAGATTGGAGATATTGGCCTATGAAGTGCAGGTTTCACAAGCTGAATGCTTTGCCTACCATTACCCACCTTCGCTCTTACGGCTCGCGCACGTAGAGTGGCAATACATTTATAAAGAGAGACAACTGAAGCTTATTAAAGTTAAAAGAATATTTTTCGATGGTATTTTTCTGCTGCATGCGTAGGAGCTACATGGCCACTTTGGCGTCGATTTAGGACTCACGGATGCATTACCGAAGAACCAAAAATAAAGATAGACGTGCTTCACGTTTTTTTACGCTTAATAACGAACTATGCGTACTTCAGCAAAACCGTTGTACGATGGGCCACTTCCCATTGGACAACGCGGCGAAACAAAACATTGTCACAACAGCGCCGCATTGCAAACTATACCACAAAGGACACAGCAATGGTTGACAAGCGATACTTCGGTGGTCGTTCGGGTCGATTTTTTACTCTTTTAGAAGTTTTACTAGTTTACTCCGTTGATCAGTCGAGACACTAATATCCTAATTACTCCTGCGCAAAAAGCGCCAAGATTAAACAGCCGACGAAACCACGGTAACTTTGCTCCAGCCAGTTCATTCCTCTACAATTCCTGCTTTCTCAACGAGCACATGGCTTAAGACGTGAGCTAACAAAGTGCGCATTACGTGCCTGTTTTTCTCTTTTTTTGACAAATAAATTATTAGCTTAAGGTTTTTCTCGTCCAAGTCCCCTTCCCCTCCGCCCCCCCCCCCCCCCCCACACACACACAAATGTCTTATCCAAACGCATACACAATTACATTGCAAAAACAAATATGCTTGTGACTTAGGTATAGTAGAAAGCATTAGGAGATATAACTCGGCTTGGTTATGCGTGCAATGTGATCTTTGGAAGGCGCTATTCGGGCTAAAAATATCCTGTAAATAAACCAATGAACCGAGTGCATTGAAGCTTTTCTCAAATGTGTCTTTTGGGTGGTGCATGCCTTATACGCAAAGGTTATATGTTTCAATTTCAGGCAACATATTTAAGCTCGAAATCCTGCACGGGGGTAAAGGTAGAAGAATCTGTTTGACGCCGCTATTCGCAGGTGGTGCCGCACATGCTCGGATCTGCTGAAACTGATTTCCGGTATTCACATTAAAAAAAAAAAGCATAAAGAAGCTTTCACGTTTTTGCTTTAAGTTGTGAAATCTGTGAATAACAGCAAAAACAAAAGCCCGTTTTTTTTTTTACCGTTTTTGCTCCTGCTTATAGCGAAAACAATATTCTTAAGCTAAATTTTCTCCCCTAGGAACGTACACATACGAAGTTTAAGTGTGACTAAAGGAATACTGAACTGTAATTTCGAACTCACAAAACAAGGCCGGACGAATAGGCGGGAGGCTGCAAAACACAAAGACATCGTTCAAACAGCGATATCTCTAACGGATCGCCATATTTTCGGAAAGGAAGTGCGCGAGCGAACATGGCCGACTAGGCCGACAAGACTAGGCACGTCACGATTCCCATTCCCTCTCCTCCCCGCTTCGTCCCGTCGAGCTGCTGAACCGAAGCGAGGAGGAGAAAAGCGAGGCCGCTTCCCCTCATTCTCGAATTCTCCCAGAGAAAAATGACGTCAAAGAACTCGCTTGATCGCGCCCTTCTTTTCCAGAAGTACGGCCATCCGTTTGAGATACCGAGGTAGGACTGATGTTTTGGAGTTTGTAGCGTTCCGTTCCACGCTTCTGCGGCAATATTTTGCGAAATCCAAATTTCGGTTTAGTATCCCTGCACTAGGTAAAGACGCCTTTGTGAGAAGTTTGATTGGACTCAGTTCAGTGGTTTATTTATACAATCCTTTTTCCGCCCGAAAAGCGCTCTCAAACGCCCTGTTATGCACAAGGCTGACGTTAGATTTTGACCAATGTCGAAATTTTACAGGATCGATACAAAACTTCACTCATTCAATGTTGGCGGCAAGAGAAGAGGCGCTCCTGCAAAAAAAGAGTGACTCTCAGTACCTCACCGAAGCCAACATGGTCCAGATACTTCTAGACGTTTTCGGAGGTAAGAGCACGCCTTCGTAGTTCATCAAGAATAATCATTTGTGGTTGTAGGAGAATGTGGATCTTCGCAGTTGATAAATAACCGTGAGATTCAGTACCACGTTAATAAGTTCTCAAAATTCTCCCCCAAAAGAATTTTGTTTCATTATCTGAAGAAGGACTAATATTTTCTCAGGAGCCCATAATGTCACTTCACCATTGGATATGTTTGAAAGAAAGCTATCGCGGGATCTATTTTTTAACCCAAATAGGAAATGCGTTTTAGTCTGTTCGCTATTTTCACAAAAATGTGTTTTCAAATATATTGCACTCCGACACATCTGCTATTCTCTGGAAAGCCCCTAAACTGCGTTTAATGGAGCCTTCGGTGTAAATCCTTGTTGATGTCAATTGCTGCCGTTCTGGGAACATATAAGGCTTGGTGGAAGTTTAAACGCATCGTGATATTCGAATGTTGACTTTGGTTACTAGACCTTTATGTTGATTATTTTCAGAGATATCTGAAATATTCCCAGTGGCCCGTGCTACTTTCAATCCTTATCTTCGAACTACCCCGTCGTATGGCCAAAAGCTACTCTTATTCTTCGTAACTTAAGAAGGTATTTTTCAGCTCCGCCCAAGATAAGTAGATATGACTCACAATTAATATTTTCCAGCTTCGACTGACACCACTATCGGAGAATTGCGGTGGTTATGTTTGACGATGAGTCGAAAGCCAGAGATACAGGCAAAGATTCAAAGAGAAATCCAATATTACCTTGGTAAGCTACGGACAATAATAACACCATTGTGACCTTACTGAGTTTCGGTTTGGTTGATGATAATGATGCTTTAAGCTCGACTCGAATAGACGAAATATGTGCTAATATGGTAATGCAAATAAATGCAAAAGTGCGAGCGAGTTTGACAAGAACGACGAAAATAATCCTTGGAGAAGGGAAACAAGGGCGACAAAGACCAAACCCAAATCTCCAAACATGGCCAGGTGACTGGTGCGCGACCGAAACAATCAACCTGCTCCTGGTATCGAAAAAGCGACCACCTTATTTTCAGTGGAGCGCTCTACCAACGTTTAACTCCTGGTTAGCTCAACTGGTAGAACGCTCATTGAAATGGAGATGTCCCTGGTTCGATACCAGGAGCAGATGAATTTTTTCGGTCACGCACCAGTCACCTAACTGTGTTTGCAGATCCTTGTTTGTCCTTTGTCCTACTTCTAACCTTTCTCCAGTGATAACTTTTGTCAAGGGTGGGCTCCAGTCCTCCTTCGAAAGTTCTCATAGAAGATATAGGGACATGCAACGTGCTACAAGTTTTATAGTATGATAGCCCCCCCCCCCCCCCCCCCCCCCCAATGTAAGGACTTCTTTCTTTTGGGGGAATTATAACGAAGTTCCACAACATGGAAACCCAAGACAACGGAACATAAAAGGGGGGCTTCCCCTTTCTTCTTCCTTTGTCTCAGGTTTTCATGATGTTGTAAAATTACCAGCTCGCCGGTATTTACATTTTCACTATCTAGCATGGTTCCTTTTCCTTAACCTTCAATACAGTAACAAGTGATGTCCTTGCTTTACTACTTTCTAACCTAAGGCACCGATTATAACATCATCCCGTATCTCTTCGCGAATAAGCGACGATTCGAAAAGCCCCAAAAGGTGACACTAAGACCGGTATTTGAAATCTGCCGAATCTGTGTAGGCTTATCGTTTAAATTTACAATGAAATAAGACTGCAAGTAAGCTTTCACACAAATATTAATTTTTCCAGAGTTCTGTTGAGGAGTCGACGTGAGTACGTTGGGGCGGGTTTCATTCTGTCAACGGCAATGTTTATGAACGCTTCTGCGTTTCTTTCGCAGGATTTTAAAATGTACTTTTTTACCATGCCGATACGTGAAACCCTCTAACCTCCTCTTATAGGTGTAAAAATATATATATGGCATGACGAGCCCTCAGCATTTCACTAACGCTCCACAGCCAATGAGAATGCGGCATTAGCCGATATAAGGACGCCAAAGAGCCAATCACGAAGCAAGAAGAGAGCCACGCCACTTTCCCCTTCCTTTATGTGCCAGTGACTATAGTTGTTTTGCCAAGTGAAGACATCACGACCAAATGATTAAGTCCACTGCACTTTAGGTCATGAACACTGTTTTCATTTTAATGTGTTTTTTTGCGCATACTATACAGCAATATTTGAGACAAAAGTTTAGAGTTCGATTGGCACGTTTAAAGTTGTTCGATTGAGTTCATATGGATATTTCGTACACATCTCGTGGGACGGAAAACTCGACTTGATACCATTTCAAACGAACTAATCCGACTCTGAGTTGCATATGTAGTATTTTCCAAGGTACGGATTTGAAGTGGGCAGTTGGTAACGTAGCTGTCGTTCAACCAGGGCAAACCCCACCGACCTTGCAAGCCAGGGACAAACTCCCGTATACGGTTGCCTGCATCTACGAGACGCTCAGGGTGTATCCGATCGTTCCCTTGGGCCTTCCGCACAACACATCTTGTGACACGCATGCGGGTGAGTTTGCTTCTTGCCAATGACATTCCTTAGGTGTCTCTCACCTATTGAAATAAGCAATATTGACCCATGCGACCTATATCCCATTTACAATCGGACAGAAGCATAGACAATATATGCATTTTTCTCAACTATAAACGAGCAGGTTATTTTTATGTCTGGCCGTAGTTTTAACCCATGCTTTCCCGTGAAAAGGCACTTAAGCGCCATTGCTTCCTTCCGACTCTTTATTATTGTTCCTTTATCGATAGCTTAACGTAATTCGCTGTAGCTTACATCACTGACAATGTTTTTTGTGCTTTACGTTTATGTTACGCATTAGGATATGGGGATTGTCCTTCAACCTATTACTACTCCGATAAAACTGCCGATTGTTTAGGCTCCTCTTCATATCGGTATATTGTATGGTATCATATCTGCCATATGATAAATAAGCATTATGGGTGCATATGCTATTGTGTTTCGGTAAAGTAAGTTCGGTGAAGCAGGTATTTTGATTCTCACAGGCGGCAAGTTTATCCCCAAGAACACTGGCCTCCTCTACAACATCCACGCAGTGAACCACGATCCCGCTCTCTGGAAGGACCCGGAGGTCTTCAGACCCGAACGCTTCCTGAATCCCAGAACGGGAAAGCTGAACCTGGAAGGCCAGCCTCCGCTCCTCACGTTCGGTCTGGGCCCCAGGACGTGTCCCGGGGAGAAGTTGGCTCACCTGAAGATGTTTTACGTGCTCGTGCGGCTCATGCAGCGCGTCACCTTCGGTGTGCCTGACGGAACCTCAAGCACGGACTTAAAGCAGCTTCAGTCCAATCTATTTCTGATGGCAGCCGAGCAGAAAATGGTTTTTAAGCGACGATTCTGACTGATGGTGCACTAAAAAAATGCAAGGCCAGTTCAAACATTTGTGCTTTAGTACAATAGACATTTTTAGAATATCGTATGCAAAAGCGTCAAGTAAAAGAATAAACATGTGCACCGATCGCCACTGCGTCTGCCCCGAGCCCAAACCGCAAATTGGCTTAGCGCATGGTGATGACGCTTTTTTTTTTTACTGGAGCAAAACTCATGGGCACTCAAATCTATATCCTGCAAATGCGTTCAGTTGTGCGCAGACAAACACGAAACGTGTGGAACAGTGCGTAGTTATTTAGCACTAATTTTGCACATAAATTGCGCTTGCAGATGACCACAGTCAACAACAGACAACCGCGATGGCATGTGCGACTGATCAAAACTCCAAAATAGGAAATGACCCTGACAGAAAACTTTGCGGGGTCAGGCTGCAGCCTTGACATGGCTGGCCTTCTAGCGTCTCACCTTGTGTTCCAGGCACCATCCTTTAAACGCATCAGCGTTTCAGCTGGTTCACGCAGCAAGCTGAGATACTGATGTGTGTGAAGTATGGCGCTTTTAACGTATGTCCGACTGGTGTGCCCCGTTGACTGAACCCGAGCCGCAGCCAATATCATCTGACCCACCGCACGTGTTCGATTTCCCCTTAGCCTTCGCTAAGTAACGTCAAAGGCTTAGCACAACGGCATTGTAATCTAGGAAGAATTGGAAAGAGGCGAGCACGAGAACATTGCAGGCTGTATGTGTGATAGCTTTATTTAGTGCGTTTAACCGAAATTTGCTAAAAAAAAAAGTAAATATATTTTCTAGGAATCTGACTTCTTGCTGTTTATCTGGAATGGGCATGCAGTAAAGGCAACCGCCCCACAAAGTATCCTGGATTATTACATCTTAAACCTTACACGCAATAATGTGCTAACCACTCAAAATTAACCGGTAGAGGCGATGCAACATTTTTGAAAATTACTTGTCCTATCTGATATAAGTCTTTTTTTTTTACTTTGTTTTATCTAGGTAGAATAAAAGTGGGCCACTTTTGTTGAGTTAAAGATTAATTTTGTAAGCGTGCACTCAACTCGCGACATACATAACTAGGCCTTAAGACTCTGCTGTGAAATGCGATGTTTGCGAACCCTTAAAGTTATTTTTATCCTGCGATTCATCAGGACGCCGGTAACTACAGCAAACGAGTTCGCTTTATAGTTGCGCTTCCTACAGCCATATCCCGAAACACAAGACGTGCTTGTGGCAGCATGCCACGGATTTGGAAAAGCGCGAGCACTAAATAGAGATGGTGATCATACGCCAATATATTATGTCACATTCTTTCTGCACACTACCCCTTGTTTGCATTATTGACGTAGGCATATAACAGACGCGTGCCGCCTGCTTCATGGTGTACAAACCGATCGTTGAACATGAAAATGCACTGATATGCTTACCGAGCCTCAAATGTATAAGATTACCGTTACAAATTACTTTCGCTGATAACTAATGGATTTCTTTACTCGTTACGTTACAAATTGCTTTCCCGTTACTGTTTCCGTACACTTTGCCAGAAAACAATAGAAGCAATCTTGATATTTTTCAAAAATGTTCTGCAACACTACATTTCATTTCTCACACGCCTGTATTATGGTAGTCTTTGTAAAAATGAAAGTGTGGGTACCCTCCGTTCACCCGCAAGCTGACAAGTCAGCGAAAGCTGCAACCCCACCCGCCATCCAGGCCTTTAACTTACAGCCTCCGAAAATGACCCCTGAAATTCTGCAGACAAAACTAATGGTGAGCATTGCCAGTAGCAGCGTCTAACTCCGCTACGAGATTCAGAGCTAAAGAAGTGATCTACGAAAGCTCTCTTTTGACTCGGCTGTTTCACCTGTTATTCACAAGAAAAGGAAACCTTGGTTCTAACGTTACAATGTATAATCAATGCGGAATGCAGGTGTCCCAGCTTGCCTTTATGTGCTTCCGAAGATTAGAGTTTGTTCTTCTTGCTGACGACCATGCGTGTTTTCTTGGGAAGCAAAGTATGCACTGAAAATCTAGGTTTCCGTTCTCCTTAATGCCCTGAATTTTGAACATCTCATTAAGAGATGGTGATGGAGACGACGGACTTCATGACCGAAAACTCTACCAGTCAGAGAAAAAGTGGCGGCTACGGGTTATCGATCGTTCATCGGTTCTCACTTTTATAACAAAATTCGTGGAGGCCAGGGGAGGGGAGAGAGTAGAGAGCGACAGAAGCGGTGGGCCATCGGTCTCGCAAAACAACAGAGGCTCACACCACTTTTACGCGTTCTCTTTCTCTCTCTCTTTGTCAGCACTCCTTAGATGGCCTAACCTTCCCCCCTCCACCTTTTATGTTGACAGTCGACTCTGTCAACTGTCGCCGGCCCCCTTGTGCGAGGCTATACTCTGTTTCACCTTCTGTTGTACCGCAGGAAAGGCTACAAGCGCGAGCTCCTTGCTCTAGGCACATCTCGGCGGCACAAGCTCTCGTGCATCAAAGGAAGCTGCCAACGCTATGAGCTCGCGCTTCTAGCCTTCGCTGCGGTACAACATAAGGTAAAACGGAGTATAGTGTACCCATGACGTAGACGCACAACTCGCGGGGGCCGCTTTTCAGCCGTGCCTCAAGATCGTGCTAGAATACACTAGCGCACATCAAAGACAAAAAATATTCGACCCCCCTGCGCGACACTACATCGTATGCTACGCGAGTTGTGAACCTCCAAATCGAGGGGTACGGACCCGTGTTTGATATCTGTGCGGGTGGCAGGAGACGTCGAAGAAGTTGTACCACTCCATCTGGGAATGCCGTCACCCCCTCGGTGAGGGTATAACCCCCATTCCTTCCCCCACCTTTTCCTCCTGGGAGGCGGCCCTTTCCGGCACAGAGCTCGATGACCAGCAGCGACTGGTTGAGTGAGCCCGCCGAATCTGGGCGGCCAACGGAGCCCTGGACTGAGGGCACCGACCAGAGACCACAAGGTCCCTTCACTTTGTCAATTAATAAAGTTTACGATGATGATGATGGAAAAGGTGAACCGGTGTAAAAGCGAAAGACAAATAAACACGGAGAGCTTTCTCCTGTCCGGGAGAACAACGTTACTAAAACACTCAGTTGGGAAACTCCCATAGAGACAGCTTTGAAAAAGTGACCCCAATCGGTCTCCGAGCACCGAGCTAACGACGAACACAACCCCACCATTTCTCCCGCAGCGGCCACTCGAGGAACTGCACGTGACTTCTTTGTTGGCTTTAAGAACAGATACAGCGGACGCGCCGCGTCGAGCTACCGAAGTTAAAATGTACCTAGGTCGGGACGCGCTACCTGAAAGGACCGCTGAGGCATGGTTGTATAAAAACAATATTAATTGTTCCGCAAAACCTTGCAAACTAAAGATTATAAAAACATCACGCTCCCTTCATTTGGTACAAAACTCCAATAAATTTCATACAAAAAGAGTTTTTTCCATTTGTTTTTACGCAAAAACAGGCTTTCAAAAAGCTCAAGGTGACCACAGTACAGACAAACGATAAAGAGTGGCGCTGTTGTCGCATTTAGCTCGTTCTCGGTGGACACCAGCGGCCCAGGTTTCGACGGCGAGTTTCCCAACTGAGTGTTTTAGTAACGTTGAGGAGAAGAAAACACGATGCGAGGCGACGAAGAGCCTACTCGGCGTTGTCTCACTTGGTCTTTGTCTTTCGTATATGTGTACATGTTTTGCGCGTTTTTCTAACGGTTCTCGTTACCGGTCCTACAAAAAATCGCATTTTCTTTTCGTCTATTCTCCTTTTCATGATGATTTCCGTTTTTGTTGAACTTGCTCTTTTTATGCTGCTGAATGTTCTGAATGTGCTGAATGCTCCAGTTACTGTATTATGCCCATATTTTTAAGAACGAGTAACTAAAGTAATCTGTCACCACTCTTTGTAGCGAAATTACATTACGAATTAATTTCGAAAAAAAGTAACGTGACAATTACAAATTTCTCGAAAAAGTAACGGATTAGAAGTAATCCGTTACTTGTAATGGATAACTTCCCAAGTCTGACTTCCTTCAATCTCCTAGTTTTGATCATATGACAAGCTCGTGGTGCAATGCCACGGCCTTCAAACAGTGCGCGCATGAGTAGCGCGAATAACCAAAGAAGAAGAAAATATCCGGACTCCCGCGAACGCTATAGAAGAGCTGAAACGCTAGAGCTTCCGCCACATTTTTGATGACATGACGCCGGCTCCTCTCCTTTCGAAACGACATTTATCACGACAGATGTCACCGCCTCCCTTTCACCCAGAAGCCGCATAGCACTAGAGTGCTCTAAATAGTTGAAGTGGCAAGAGCGGCGGCCACGCTAATGTGAACAATTGTAGGTTTTAGGGGCGAAGCTCCTTAGGGCTTAGCCTTGTCTGTCCGGCGTCCGTGCTCACATCGATCTTGCTGGTGCTCGTGCTCGTGCTCGTGCTTGTGCTCGTGCTCGTGAGCTCACGTGGTCACGTGCTCGTGTAGGGCAAAAAACTTTTAAAAAAAATATTGCGCAGTCAACAGGATTTGAACCTGTGCGGGGAGACCCCAATGGCTTTCTAGCCATTGGGGTCTCCCCGCACAGGTTTTTTTTTAACCACTCGGCCACGACTGCGGGACGAGTAGGGGCCTCTGAGATGTGGTAGTAACTCAAGAGCTGGGGATGTCATGGATGAAACGTTGCATGTAGCCGCTCAACGTCTATACAGGAGAGGGCGCTGCGGTCAAATGCGTATATAATCGCGTTAAACTTTGCATGCATTGGCACAGCGTTTATATACGAGAGGGCGCTGCGGTCAAATGCTCAAATGCTTATATAACCACGTTCCATACCACACATTCTCTTTCTGACATGGATGAAAACGAACGAAAGGCTCGGCATGCTGCGGCTCAGCGTCTACGCAGACAAGCACCACCAGAGCTTGTGGGCACCCTGGCGGCTCCCCAGCCTAGTTGCCCGACTGCGAGGCAAGGGTGCCGAACTTTTCCCGTGTGGCGGCGACGTCACGCCAGCCACGCGCACATCGCGTGCGCCGCCTTGATAAGGCGCATCAGAGGCGGCGCACAGGGAGTCGCTGCCTGGACTCAGGCGCCGCTGGTAACCATGTTAATCGTCTCGTCCATGTCCCATTAAATGTAGTTTCTTGTCGTTGAAA